ATCAACAATTGATGACTCTTCTTCCCGATCAAACATAATCAGCAATTACAACAAGCAGTGACTTTGTAGAACTAGACATAGCTTTCTCACTAACTCCTTTCTATTCTTGCTCCATGTTTCTTAATTCCTATTCCTAATATACTAAATATAATGTGTTAGAATCCTTGACAAAGTATATTTGACAACAACATATTAAACAAAGATAACTTAATTATATTGAAGTAGAAAGAATATTATGGTAAACTTAGATCTAATGAGGATATTTGCAGCAAAAAATCACTCATACCTCAACAATGTAACTATATGACTCCAACTATAAAATCTTTTACAATGTTGTTTGTTTCATTAAATACATAAAAATTTCAATTCCTCCTACATTTTTGTAATTCATAAAAACACAGTGGAACTTAGATAGTGAGATGTCAATGCAGACCTCATTAAAAGTGGCATTTGCCACTTTTGCCACTTTTTGTTAATTGTTGCATCCAAAATGATTTAAAAGTGGCATTTGTGGCATTCGTATTGAAAAACTTGTGAGACAGTCTTGAAACCATAAAATATTGAGCTTATTTCATGAGAAAGTTAGGCAATGTTGTTTCTTTGTTGTGGCTAACTTAGATTGAGTCATGTATGTTCAAGGGACACCTAAAGCCATCCAAAGCTGACAAGAATTTAGAAGTGTACATGAACAGAACTCATAATTATTCATCATGAGTATACTCAAAGCAAAGAGAGCTAGTACTTTGAGAAGAAATGAAATCATGGTTAGTGATACTAACAATGAGGGTATTAGACTTCAATTGAATCGTGCCAACTTCCAAAATCCAAGAGACGTGAATTGTATTACTCTTTAAATTTTCAACTAACAATGATTAACATCACATGTCTTCAATCCTAATACTATAGAGAAACTTGATTTCATGACAAGAATATTCTTGCATTAGAGTTTTAGAAAATCTTAGTAATGTTTGTTATACTCTTTTATTCCAAAAATTACATCATGTCTTTAATCCTAGGACATGTTATGTTTAGAGATGCGTCCATTTTTTAATAAAAAAAATACATACATTTAATATGTCTAATATAAATTATTTTTTATTTGAGACATATTTTATTTGTAGACCGGCAAATTCTAATCTATACGTGCAACTCACGTTGCCTTCGGTTCAAATATTGCAGGTTGAACTTCTTATTCACAAAATGAAGGTGGTTCCTTCCACTTTTGAGAACTTCTAGTGATAGAAATGCTTGCAACGAGTATAAAGTTAGTATTGCAAACTCCGGACTGATTTTCACTCAGGTTTACCTCAGACGACTTTGCAGTAGCTCATCATGGTTCTAGAAGGTAAGAATTACTCATCACACTCATATCACACATACACTTTCATACATTTTCTCAATTCATCATTCAAATTTACACACACATCGACATTCCAAGATGTTGAAAAACGTCATTCTTTCATATATGAAACAAGTCTTTACACATGAACTCTCCAAATTTGTTTGGAAATTTCTTACTTAACTCTCTATGTAGATTATTTAAGAATTTATTATATTAACAATAGGTAACTATTATCTATATCACTTTTACAAAAATAAATCATAATAATTTTGACTAGTTCTCAATACGTGGTAATATACCATTGGCCTCCTAAAGATTTTAGATGTTTATTAATACCTAAATTGAGGTGACAACATGTCATTTATGACTTTCCAACTTTTAGAACCTCCACTTCCCAATAAATTAACATTAGACTTAGTCTAACAAATGAAATACTCATTAATTTGTCAAACCAATCAAAAGTAAACATGAAATCAAAAGTATATTTCCTTGGAATCTAGAGTTTGTAAGAGACAAAATAGAAATGCACACACAAATCTTCTAGATTTTATTTAATTATTTTGCCAAGTATAGATATTATAGCTAAACATAGTCATAACTTGATAAACTTAGTTATAACTAGCTAAACTGAGTCACAACTAACTAAACTTAGATATATCTAAGGTTATCATGATTAACTCCTTTACTACTTCTAGTTCTATTTCATACATGTAACAATTGATCTTATAGTAGAGAGTTGAGCTGACTTGTATGAAAATCTCAAGTGACTTCAGCTTAGTACACTCAAGACATTATGCACGTTTTCCATGATGTAAGTAATGCTAGTATTATGTAAGTATTGCTTCATATCACCTCGGCATAAAACCAAAAAGATTGTATTTGTAATATAAATTTATCACATGAATGCCGGATAAATCATGCATGGTGATGTAGATGAGTAAGATCAATACTTGCTTAGAAATTGCATTCCAACCAAACAGTCTATGAATGAGCAAAAGAATAAGTAGCGTACAATGTGAATGCTCCAAGTTTTTGAATTCTATGCGACTACGTCGTCTTAAACGTATGGAAACTTTAAAAAATCTGCAATTTGATTTCGACGCATCCATAGTTATGTTATTCATTGATATTCAATCCTAGGATAAGAGAGAAACTTGGTTTCATGACCAAACTATTATAGCATTCAAGTTTAGAAAACTTTTGCACTGTTTGTAATACTCTTTTCTTCCATAAATTACATCATGTCTTCAATCCTAGTAAAGAATAGAAAGTTGGTTTCATGACTAGATGAGTCTAGCATTTGAGTTTTAGAAAACCTTTGCGATGTAAGTAATACTCTTTTCCTCCGAAAATTACATCCATCGGGTGATCATGCGCTACTTCAATTTCTATCCACAATCGGATAAAAAAAAACAGGGATTTTCTTTCCAATCATTTTCACCATACTGGCGGCAATGCATTCTAATGCTTGCTTGGGATAATAAAATTCTTCTGTTGTCAGCCGCACACTTCGTAAACTTTACATAGTGCTTGTGAACTCTTAACAACTTACGTGGTAAAGTTCAATTGCAACCGAAGAGTCACTATAGAAAAAGACTTAATTCTGGTATAGGACCAATTTTAATTGTGGCAAAGCTGGCATATTTTAATAAAATATCACTTTTAATGAGGTATGTGCTAATGGCAAGATATTTTGACAACGTAAAGTCTCATTATAAAGGTTATATACTTGAATTTTAGTCAAACACTTCCTCTTGCACTTGGATGTAATATATCAAAGAGCCATGGAAATATATGTTCATGTTGGATGTTGATTGTCTTGTTATATGATTTAGGAAGTCACTTTTCACATTTGAAGCCAAACAAATAGGCAACACAAGGATCCATCCATCACACTCGAAATCACTGACTACATGAGCACGTTGATCATTTGATCGAGGAGCAAAAACAAGAATTCGTCAATATGGCTTACAACATGATGTGACCTAATCCAAACGACACAAAGTGGTTACTTGCCGGTTACTTGCGAAAGTAATCAAAGATTAAGTTGCCAATTTAATCAACTCGAATCATATTAGACGCTAAGAAGGAATACATTGTTGAGAGATTTTGTGCCTGGTAATTTACAGAACCTTCGGAATCGATTTAGAGATGGATAGTTTCGAAATGGACGTAGGAGAATACTGTGGACAATTTCTGTATTCTCGATGACTTGGAAAGATAAGATCGGGGAGAGAAAGTGAAAGAGCCCATTTTCCTTATTCATGTGGAATCATCGTCTAGAGCAATACTATTGGCTTGTGCATCATTGGCGTCCGATCCTGATAGGGTAAATAAAAAAACAAAACATGTCGTTTCTAGTTGCAAAAGGGAGGAGTAGAAATCGCACGATTTTAATATATCATTTACAGACTGGTAGGGACCTTAAGAGCTTGCATAAAGGCTAGGCTTGTGCATTGTGCCCTACCTTCTGCCGTTTTGCATTTGCACTGCTCTGCTGAACCTATCAGCGCCACCCTAACCGTAACTGCGTATTAAGCAGCGGACGAAGGGTCAGCAAAAAGTGATTAGCATCGTCCAATTCAAGCAATGGGCTTGGGCAAGGTACTCGAGTCCCAATTGATAAATATTGATCGTGAATATTGACGTTACATGCAACCGTTGTGGTTCTATATTTGCAGCATAATGTCTTCAAACAAGTGGAGTGTTATTATACTAGGGATAGCTTGTGTGCAACTCTATGAGCAAAATACCACCACAAAGAGCATTCAAAACGTGTACATCTTTACTGAAGCTAATGTTCTCTAAGAAAATTGAAGTTACAAAAGTCTAAGATTATGTTGATGTGTGTTTCATAATTTTACTTTGAACTTTTTTTTGAACGTAAACCAAGATTCGGAGTTTGATTTCCTTCATATTTTGATGTTATTCTTTGTCATGAAATGTACATCATCATGTTTAAGAAAATATCACTTACAGCAACAAGGAATTCACTGCATTTAAAAAAAAATTCCAAGTTTAAGATGTAGAAGAATTTCTACAACGTGGCAAAAGATGGAATTGCTTCAGAAGAATTTCTTACTTTATATTAGCGAGAAATTCCTTAATGTGACATGCCAAACTTGGTCACACATCACATCCAATAGACTACATTTTGTGAATCTTAGCTATCTTAGTCTGAACTCATGCAAATATCAGTGTATGTTCTATTCGTTGAATATTTACATACCAGTGAATTCTAAATAAAACAACATTTTATTTCACAAAATGCATTGATTTTGCTTTCTTCAGGTTAATGGAGACAAAAATTGATTCATCAAGACCTTACAAAATTTAGCATTTGCACGAGAATATATTATAGTTAATTATTCCTGATTATTTTCGATCTCTAGCATTCTTCAATTGTTTACGGAAGGAAGAAATTGTTTTGGTCATTAATGTCCAAGGGCCAATATGGAACAACAGTATTAAGTTTGTGGCGGAAATGAGTTGGCGCAACATCGACCTTCGAGTATGTTGCAAATTGGGGTTCCGACTGTCCAATCTGATTTTAAGAGCTTGAATTTTATAAAAAAACAAAAACAAAATAAAAATATAATCAAGCGGTCACATTGCCATTGCCGAGGAAACATCAGAAGGCTTCAGTACGAGAAAGAACGGCCCCAAAAAGTGCAACGAGGAGCATGAACCCTCTGAGATACCCGGTGGCCTCTACGACCCGTTGCGGATCAGGCCAGCCTCGATCGGCTCGCTGTCGAAATTTCGCATCGAAATTTTGCGCATTTCGATCGAGGGCGATCGATGGAGGAAGCGAAAGCCATCGTGGCGATGCTCAATGCGCCTCCCCTGGACCTCAACATATCTGTTCTTGAATTCTGGTGCTCATTCCACCCTGTAACGAACTTCAGTGTCGATGCCTCGACGGATTCTGTTGCTCCACGACGAGCAAAATGCTCGGAGCTCCACCCACCGATGGAGAGGAAAACATAAGAGAAAACAATAATAGTGGAATTGAATGGAATGGAGTGAATTGATTTGAAATTTATCTTTTGTGCCATTGCCTACCCAGAAGGTGATTGTTGTTGTGGTCGACACTCACTCCATACTCGACTTGCAGTCAGAAAAGCCCGCTGCAGTTACGTCAGCTGCTCTTCGGAGTCCTCTCTGCAATCGTTCCTCCACAGGTTTGTCAATTTGCACAACCGCGTGTCGCGCATCCACAAGTCATGCATGAAAGATGGTCGCGTCGCTGCCACGAGAAGCCGCTTCAGTTTTTTATTCCCTTGCCGTCGTTCAGATTTGCTTCGCTTACCCTGAAGAGCCCAGAGAGCTTCAAAATTACTTGATGGCAGTCTCTTTCTCTCCTTTCTGCCAAGCTTCTGATATGGATAGCTTCGCTCGTAGCGTAGCCTTTAGAATCGAAGTCTCTGCGTTCCAGGCCAAAGTCCTGTCGCTCCGTCCATTTGCCATTTGCCATTTGCCTAGTGAGCACTCGTGTCATAGCTTGTCTGGTGTCACATCGAGCTCACAATAGTTTTGATCCTTCCAACCTTGAGCTCTGAGCCGTGAGGTGACAGAGACTGGAAGATTCACCTGAATCGACGACCTGCTGGATGGTGGACTCACTCAGAGTACTCAACTATGGGCCGAGCATTACTGGGTCAGTTCGTCCACTGCATGCCAGCGTCGACAGAATGTTTGTAGCTGTAGCATAACTTGCTCCTTGGTTTTGACATGCGTGTGAATGTGGTGGACCCTCGATCTTGAGGCGCTGATCATGATCTGTGGATGTCTTTGTGCGGCAGACGCTCATCGTTTCTGGATGGAATCGCCGCTGGCAACCACGATGTCATACGTCCTCTTCTTGCATGGCTCCTACCGCAGGCATGTGTACTGTCCGCATCTAGTACGGGTTGCATTTCATGTGACAGATAGTCGAATGAAGTCCCTGCCAGTCCACTGAAGCGGTTGATATACTACTCCGATTCTGCAGATCAGTACGCTGCAGAAACGTGCATTTCTTGCCCGATTTTTGGTGGATGTGGAGATTCCGGCAGAACTACTGCTGGCCGAGGATATGAATAAGTTGCATGCTCAGTATGATTCCCTGAGAGAACAATTCATAGAAACCCATCGGCATCTGGAAGGCCTCCGCCAGATTGAAAGGGATCCGATCAAAGTTAAAGAGCATGTATCTGAGCTGCAGACCGAGCGAGATCATCTTCTCTCCAAAATTACCAAGTTCAAATGCAAATTTCAGGTCCAACTTAGTGCCTCTCATTATACATTCATCGCTCATATCCGACTGATCAGGAGGCGTTGATCAGAATACGCATTTGAAGTTTCTTCCATTGACAGCTCATACCTTCAGACCCTATGGAGAGTCCAAGTTGCCTGCAGGACACTTTGACCCACATGTTTCATCGATGACATATATGTTCAACCTGAAATGAGTTTCAGGATGTGGAGAAAGCTGATGAACTGTTGGAAGCTGTTGAAGAGGTCAAGAGTCTTAAAGTGGAGATGTCAAAGCTTGTCGATACGATGATTGAGCAGAGACAGGCACTAAACCGCTCTTTGGGTCCGTCGGACTCACTTGTTTGATGTCGGACCTGTAAATTGATTAAAGGTCGTGAAGATTCTCGTGGATTAGATAAGGCTCTTGCTTCACAGAAATATGTTCTATCTGTTTACATGTTAGAACAAAATCCTAAACATAAACATAATTTATGCAAGTCACTGAGCATTGTTTTGTTTTTACATTTGCGTCACTCAAGGCATGGGTAACAAACTAATACTTTTAAACCAGAATGTCCCGTCTTTATTTAGGTCCAAGAGCTGCGAATTCTCTAAGGTTTTCTAGACATTTCTCACCCATCAAAATGTATGTGAACTTATGCCGGTTCAATTCGTTGCGTGATACAGGAAAGAATCAGAAAGCATATTCAAAGTTACAACATATGAAGATTCTTTTGGAAGATGCACACAATGGTTCGTTCTTTGACAAAGCGTCACACGAAATCCAGGCCCTACGTTTCAGTGCCAAACAGAAGCTCCCTGAGGTTACGTTTGTAACTCACTCTTCAGTTTGGCAAACGATGTCAATAAGAAATTCAACGAAACAAAATTTTATTTCTTTTATTTCTTTCAAATTGCCAATGGATTAACATCTTTCGATTTCCACTGTAAATACAATTCATACCATGAACTTCACTGAAGCAAATACTCTCATTCTGGCTCCGGGGGATTCAGGAGGTTGCAGCCAAACAGGTACACCTGCATGCTCTTCAGGAGGTTCTTTGTGGGCCTAACAAATCTGAAGGGCTTGCAAGCATACAGGTGATATCTCGTTGACTTCTGTCCTGCAAAGTTGCAAATCTCAACCTTGTGGTTGTAAACGTCAATCTGTTGAGCATGCTTTGCGAAAAAGAAAGATGACATAGATGAAGGTAAATTTTCTATTTTAGTTTCTCAGTACTGCTTAACATCCCTTCAGAGGTTTTTTTAAATCACATCAGAAAGCGTATGGCCAATTATGGATCTACAGTCGAAGCTGCTAGCTGTGAATGAGGAACTGAAGAATAAGAGGAGAAATGGCCTCGAGAAGCATTCAGAAAATGAAGATGCTTCAAAAAGAGAATCAATGCATTGGCAGCGAGCACAAATGGGCCTCATTTTAGCGAATAGGTCACAGGCAGCGAATAAGAAGGTGGCAGAGCTCACAGAATGCAGAGATAAGCTGCAGAGGGATCTCGATCAGAAAAGTACTGCGATTGAAGAGGTAAGCTTCTCGCACATCTAACCATAGATTAATAGCGTATTATCTATAATTCCAGCTGAGCTCTATGTATCCTTTCAGGTGAAGGCTACTGTACTCAGAGGAGAGGAATTGAAAACCTATGTGGAGTCACTGCGTAGCAAGAGTGCAGTGTACAAAAAGATGAAGAAGGAACTCGACGATATGGATTCTGAATATGGAGCTCTTATCAAAAATCAGAAGCTGCTTGAGGAACAAATTGAAATGCATCCAGAGTTCCCAGAAGGTGAATTCACCCCAGCATGATACACAGCCTACAAGCCATGCAAAACCACGATTTTTATTTTTTTTAATTCATCAAACCCCAGATTTGCTCTGGACCAACACCAATTTTTTTTTAAGGGAATATCAGAGGAAAAGTTGTGAAGCTGACTTCAGAAATTGAACTCCTGGCACCGAGTATAACCAATTTACAGGTGATATGCTTGGCGCTTCTGCCGTCTATCAACACTGGTTTTTAGAATTTAAGGGCTTACCCCAAAGCACCGATGTCCAGATAAAGTTGATCAGACTCGCAAACGGGCGACAGCCAAGAATTTGAGGAAGATGATCGAAGAGGTCAATAATCTTATCAAAGATCTCCGAAACCAGTTGAATCCACAAGTTAAAGAACTGAAGCTTTTAAGGGCTGACCTTCAATCGCTTGAGATCGAACAAGCAGAAAAGAAACAACACTACACTGACATGTGTTGTCTTTTCGATAGGTAAGCTTCGAGTATTCCCATAATTCTTCACCTTCAGGAGACAACTGCGTGATCCGATGTGAATATGCTGAAATTCGTGCGTCCTGCCAAAGCGCGAGTTCATGACAAATATCATCTTACTGTCGCAGTCACGTATAGCCTCGTGTATAATGACGATTGCGTTCAAAAGACCATCAGAGTCTGCACTTAACGATCCTCACCAATAAGCCCCAACTGATGCTGAATTGGTCGAACGTTTCTTCACAATGTGGTTCCATACAGAAAAGTGACCAAGCTCGAAGCAGAATTAGCCTCAAGTACCAAGGAGTATGAGAACGAGAAGGAGGGAGTAAAGGTGAGGGCAGCTTCGCTGGAGAAACTTCAAGCGACTCTGATGGAAGGTGAGCTAAAGCTAGCCCCAGCATCGTTCGAGTCTCGTTTATGTCTACGGACGTGACTCTCGTCACGGCTTATTTGAGAAACACATCGACACATCTTGGCAATTTCATGAGGAGCAGCTGTCAAGTATCATAATGCATTTTTCTTTCCTGGAAGGATTACTAATCTCCTCAAAACATGGTCCTTTCATCATGACGTGAAAGACATCATCTCTATCAGAATTTATCACCAAAAGTATACCAGTGATAGATTCCGAAATTTCCTTCACCAAGAAAGTGGGACAAATTACAGAAAACGTGGAGAAGGAAAATGGTTCTGTGAGTACGAAGATTAAGCTCAAGATAGAACAGCAACAAGAAGTTTTGAGAGAAGTTCAACGCAAACAACAAGCGTTCAAGGTTGTCGCCAATGCTCAGCTGTGGTTTCTATTCACTGCTGTACATCAGTACTCGAATCATACATCTCATCTCAGAGTGTTTCTATGAAACTTCAGAGCTCGTAAAAAGCTTATCGTCATAGTTGGTATTAGGCTAAAAAAATGGAGTCCGTCCATACTTCTGCTGTGCTGACTGATCGGCTCTCTGTGGGAATCTCGTATGGATCGTAGGAGACGGAACACTTCAACAGTTTGCAGATGGGGATGATGAAGGATCTGCTGACTCTCGTCGCTGCCAAGTTGAGTCTGTATTCTTCCTCGTCGAGACTGCCCATCTTCTCCACGGCAACTTCCTTAGATACCGTACGCGTCGATACACAAGTCCTTCAGCCTTTCGTAACAATCTCGTTTCTCATGGTTGGATTTCATTGTTGCACTTTCAGTGAACACTTTCTCTCTTACCACCCAGACTCTGAAACTGCTTATGCTTCTGTAGGGAGACACGAGCAATTGAGCGAATTCACGACTTTCTAGCTCGCAGAAAGTTTAAGTGGTCCTCCAACTTGAAAGCTCGACATAAGTCCCTGAGGACGAACGACAGATTCCAAGCAAGTGTCTGTGAGCTTGTATGAACATTATTCAAGAGGCCACATGGTTTCATATCTCAGGCGATGGAATGATTATATTTTCAGGTTGCGACTGGCAATCGGGACAGCTGACGAACTCACTAGAGTCAGGATCGGGCTGAGAAGTATACGATTCTTATATTCAAAGGTGGATTCTGATCTTCACTTCGGATCGGCAAATGTACAGCCAGAGTGATGATAATTGAGCAGTTGGCTGATTCCTCAAAGGAATGATAAACTTCGTTCGAACATCCAAATTTCATGCAGATTTAACCTTGCGGGTGCACTTGTTTTGATTGCTTTGCTGCTAGCACCAAAAAGCATGTGTTTGTGCTTCTGACACCAGATCTGGGGCTAACATTCTGTCTAAATGCCAGTTTCTAGTCGAGGTGGAAATGAATTACGACTCGAAGTCAGATCCATGCGAGTTTGTAGGGATCCATTCATTCCCGCTTTATTCTGACATTGTTACATCACGAGGGTTGGACAATCTGCTGTCATGCACCATGGCCTACTTAATTTGATCTATTAACGTGTGAGCACATCTAATGACTTTAACAACATCACGTAAATAGAGTTCACCCGGACAAGGGATGATGGTGTCCATTAAATGTATGTCCATTGTTCGCTAAGCGGAGATTTAGAAGTATGATAGATTTTAATTGATTATGAATTTATGTGTTTTCCGTTTTTTTCATCCAAGTCTAGAATTTTAGAGTGTAGAAGCTTTGCCCTACGAAGAGATTATGTTGGGACTAATTCGAGGTTAGTTGAAAAAGATTTAAGTCAGATCCTCAAGTTTAGGGGCTCGAGACAGAAACATATGAGCCAAAACTACTAAAGGCTTTCCATCCAGCGCAAGCATCTGGATAATCAGGAATGCGATGTGGCATTCCTGCAAGCGGTTTTTTCTTAATTATCAAATGCTAATGGATTGTGACTAAATATTATGATTAGATTTTTCAGATGTAAACTTCATCTGAAGTTAGTCTTTTCGACTTTTCAGTGAGTTTAAACTCCAATCTTGAATCAGTTCTTTATTGACATTGAGAAAATCCGCATGATCATTGCCCCGCGAAGGGCTCCTGGCGTGGGGAATTTACTGTTACCTTGTGGCCCAGCCATTCTCAATTGCGCCGATCGCCAACATACTTCTATCGGGCTGTAAGAGTTGTGCTAAGAACACCTTGGACAGGACTCAACCGAGTCGCCGACGTCACAGTACCGAGTCCTACGTGCGACCTTCGGAGACGGTATGATGAAAGGTGGAAGATTCGACACAGGACGATAAATTGACATCAAAGTAAGAAATCAATGTTGTACACAGTAGCAATGGGCATAAAACTGGTGGGAAGATATATGAGTGAACAGAAAAGAGTGGTGTTTCATGAGACACAAAGTTACAAACAGTCATCCCTCGAGATGTGGCAGATAACAGATGTCCACCTCTTCTTCTTCTCCCTTCACTCGTACTTGTGGCTATGATGTGACATGGCCCTTCCAATAAGATTGTGGTTCTCTAATTTACGATGCGATTTTTTTGAAAATAATTCCTTCTTAGATCCAATGACAAGAATCCAACAGAATGATAGAGACAGCGAATCTCAGTTACCAAGGCAATCTCTCCACGAAGATTAACCAAGTTCTCCACAAGGGATCTATAATCAAACCCGACAAAGCTAGCGCTAATTTGAAGGCATGTCGAGTGATCACAATGTTTTTGAGCCAGAATATGCTCACAATGCATGCCACTTTGCAGGAATAACCTTTGTACTGGTTTGCAACTATGCTCATCGGTTTTTAAAACAGAATTGACGTCATGGCAAGAAATTTCTGTCAAGTGAACGTATCAAAGATGTCAAAGATACTCTCAGCATCTTGCTAGCACCCAAACCATGCTCCCGAGGCTCGTAATCGGTCACTGAGGGAGGCAGCAGTGCTAGCAATGGGGAGAAGAAGCTTGTAAGAATGGTAGAATGCTCAGTAGCTTGCGAGAAGATGGACAATTTTATTGAGAATGCGATCGCTTGATTGACGTGTTATCTGAGAGGGTATAAAGAAGACGTCCAACTTGACTTTGACAAATTTTATTCACATTTGCTGAGGCATGAGTAGATTTCTCATTCGGCTTTCAACTTCCCTTAAGTTTATATATCACATTTAAACTGTTCACCTGGTCAGTCTCCATCTCGTCGGCAACACAATGGCTTTGGGTTACAAATTAAGTAACAAATTATAATATTCAATCATTCAGCATTATATCAGCGCTAATATTAGGATGCTCTGTTCTACGTGAGAACGTTCAGGCAAGAGACAGTCTCTTACAGTCATTCCATCTCCTCCACTTGCTGCGCGGAAACAGCCGGGTCTAGAGAAACATCAGGTGTGCCCAGGACCTGACCACTCTAGGGGCTTCGAGCCAAGCAAGAAGTTGGGGGCCATGGAGACCTACTATACTATTGCCTAACTTGTAGGAAATAGAATTTCTATTGTTATCTATTTGAGAGGCCGCACGATTCCACAGCTCTGCACTTTCGCATGTTCTGACAGTGTGCACAAATGCGCCGCAAAGGCTGCGCATATCCAAAACTTCTGGTCGCTACCACAGCTGCTACAGACAGAGCATGTTCCATGGGAGCAAAACCTCGCGCACTGCGTTCGTGAAGAACGCAGTGCCGTGATTCGTGTACAAGCAAGGCCAGCGGGCGAGCTGTCTCCAGTCAAAAGCACGACATCGTGCCAAGGCTTCGGATCAGATTCAGATATTGTGTTTTGATAGCCAATCCATCACCTATGGGCTCAAATAGAACTCTAGAGAAAGACTGCAAATCAGATCATTCTGCGTTCATGAAATTCAGAGGATGCAAGCAAGAAACCGAACCATCCAATTTGTACAATTCACTGTCTGGACACGACTTCGGATATCGTGCCAATGCTTCGGATCAGATTCAGATATTGTGTTTTGATAGCCAATCCATCACCCATGGGCTCAATGAGAACTCTAGAGAAAGACTGCAAATAAAATCATTCTGTGTTCATAATATACAGAGTTTTCTACGAGATATCTCAAGACTAGTTTTTGCATCGAAACCTTTAATTTTTTAACCAACATAAAAACCTTCTCCTTCTTCTTTTTCTTCTTTAATCCAAGAAATTAAAGGGTTCATATGATCGTGAGATTCAGAAGTTGTATAAGCTAAGGAGGATGCAAGAAAGAAACCGAGCCATCCAATTTGTACAATGCACTGTCTGGACACGACGTTCAGGTGTACGTATGGCGATCCACCGACTCCCCGCTTCCTGGAACAGTTTGCATCGTGACGTGAGGCTTGTACGGTACTAGTCCTTTTACTACTGTACCAGTGTACCTCCTGAGCATGATCGATGAGCTTTGTCTCTTAAGACTGCTCTGCCACATCTTGCAGAATCATGTGCACATCGATTATTCTCAATAACCTGATCGCGTCGCGTCCTTATCTGCAGTGGGTCGGTCGGTCAGTCCGACTGCTGAAAAATATTTCGCATTCCTCAAGCAAGCCAGCAAAGATCCGAACAAATCGTAGTCTCTCAGGAGGAATGAAACAATCGATCGCTGCATGGCAACGCAACCGCCTCGCTCCGGATAATAATTCTCTCTGATAGTAATTACAGGATTCATGTTGATGTCGACGAGGTCGTGGCCGATCCGAAAGGATTTGTTGGCGAGGTTTTTGTTCATTCGTTCACGTTTCTTGGTCTGACAATGTCATACTTACATACTCCATGGACATCGAGCCGACCTGATTCTGAGTCCGATATCGTATTCTTCTCCATGTCTATGTATAAATAGACGTATACAGTAGACACGTACTGTGGCCACGATCGGAGTACTACTACGGGAGATAGTGACTGAGGTGCAACGTGAGAGGATTGGAGGGGACGAGCAATTGGAGCTCGTCGGGCGACGAAGAGTGCAGTCTGAGATCGATGTACAAGAGGCGCAAATCACTCTCACGCATCAGCTCAAGCTGAGGAAGGTGGAGCACAGTGACGGGACGGGGCTCATGATTTGTGAGCGATGGGAAAATCTAAAGAAAGGAAGGAAGGAGGAACAGCAGCGGACATGTGGCCAATCAGTAGCTCCTGCAGCATCCAACGTAGTCAACTCTTTTCTCTGCCCCCACGCTCACGATGTAAGTTTGTCCCGGCAGCCATCGCGCCACGTCTGTGCAGGAGGGCGACGGCGACTTCGATCTGATCCCGTCTCGGACTGACTTCCTGGGCTGACGGTTCTCGGGATATGTTCTCGGGTGGACTACTTATAGCGGGAGAAGGCTCGGACATTCTACTACAACACTCGCAACCTTCAGTGTCTCTCTCTCTATTTCTCTTTCGCTCACTAGAATTCTCTCGATCGCTCATGCACGCAGTCAGCAAGATGTCTTCCAGCCAGGGAAGCAGCAGTGCAGTCTCCAGGAGCTTGGCGCTGCTTTTGTGCGTCCTCGTCTTGGCTCAATACGCTGAAGCAGTTACTGTCAACGTCGGAGGCACCAAGGGCTGGACTCTGGGATACAATTACAAGACCTGGGCTGCTACAACCAGAGTCAAGCCATGGGATAGCATGTGTCAGTAATCTCTCCTTTCTCGCACCTTTTCGCTCGAATTGTGTTGTCTGCTCACGTGCGGTTGTGGACCGTCTCTCGCCAAGCTGGGCTAGGCACCTCTGTACTAGTTGCACTTGCGCTTGTCTACTCTTACTCAATTCTCAATGTATATGAGACTCCTTGCTTGGGAGCTGCAGCTTCTAGCTTGTACAAGACCTGTACCGAACATCCTTGAATTTCGTCGGAATCGGAGCTCCTCGTGACGATCAGCATGAAAGGAGACTCAGTCTATGACATCTTCCGTGAAGCATATATATGTGTGATAGAACAACAAAAATTCATATATTTATGTTTATTTTGTGGATTATAATTATGCGAGTGCTGACCGTAAGTGTTGCTGTGCGTGCGTGCAGTTTTCAAGTATGATCCCCGACTTCACAACGTGCTGGTGGTGAGCAAGGCTGACTACGACGCATGCAGAGTTAACAGGCCGTGGGCCACATACAAGTCTGGAAAGGATTACGTCAAGTTCACCAAGAGCGGCACGTACTACCTCATCTGTGGTATTGCCCAGCATTGTCAGGCCGGCATGAAGGTGGCTGTGAACGTGCGTTGGTAAATCACAGCCGTGTTCATCGCGCAATTGCAAGTAGGTAGTCGAATTTTGGCTCTGAATGGTTGGCCATGCCAGCCACGTTGGTTAGACGGTTGCTCGACTGCTAGGAACTACGATCTCGATCGATAGCATCCGAAGTCGACTTCGACAGTAGTAGTTCCCTCTCGAGCATCTACCTCATGGTGTGAGGTCTTCAGAGTCTATGTGTGTATATTTCTGTGTCTCACACAGACGCAATAAAGTTACTGCTGAATTTGCTCTTACGCTAATGCTGGCAATTCTTCACCTGTCTCGAACGCAGTTCTCTTGCCAAATTTCTTCTGCTCCGTGGAATAACTAAATGACCTCGATTGCTTCGTTTGAGAACTTTTGACAAGCAATTTTTTTGTTAGAGATAGGCACGCAGTCTCTGTCATTTGGCTTAAATCTGTCCAAGCTGACACGCTTTAGACATGTTTTGATAACGTATGGAATGCCAGCATCTCCAGCCCATCTACATAGAAAACAACGCAAGAATGCCCAACCCTCTGAGCAGCTTTGACTGTTATGATCTGATACCTGCGGGCTTAACAAGGGACAGTGCTCAGAGCCAAGATGATGGTGATGCATTCGCTTCAGTCTCACCATTCAGAACAAATTTGTTATGATTCCAGTGAGGTGCACACTGCAACATTTGATCGATCAGGTCTCTGTTTTGTATCTACTTGCGAGAGCTGAGGTAAATTTTTATCCATATATACTAAGTATAAATTTGGAGATTTATTCTTTTATTGCAATGGAACTGTAACATATTCGAAGAATTCAAGTTTATTGAGTTTCTATTTAAAAATTTTGCTATAAGTGTAACATGGATCCTTGAGCTGTCTTCTAAAAAGCTACTCTGCAAAAAAATAATCCTATAACACTGTAAATATATTTATCTAACATAATATTAGTAAAAAAGTTTGTAAATAACTACGTAGAATATTCATAAATTACATAAGAACACCATAGAAGACTTAAACTTTGAAAGTAACGTTTTTGGTTAAAAATTTTAACTTTCAATGATTCTTAAAGTTAAGTAAAGTCACATCTTGATCAAACGAAAAATATTTATTAATGATGCTGTAGGTACCTAACCTCATCTCACCACTTTAATTTCATCGAGTGTGCATTGATGGAGATATTTTCATATTTCAATTTTTTATTTTATTCCCTTACTTGATTAGGCTATAGTTTAAAACTAGAATTTTCCAAACCAACTATATTTTACTCTTGTTCTTGCAAAATCTAATGAAGCGTTCGTGATTCTTCTAAGAGTGCACACACTTGTTATGATCACATTGTTTTGTTATATGTCTGAAGAAATTTCTCCATACTTGCTTGCGAGGATGCATGTAACTAGGTTGATATTTCTGCATAATCAATGATTGAATGTTCCGGATTTCGCCAAAATTATGGTTCCAATGAAGTTGTGATCATTAAGGGATAAGTGTAGCAAGGTCTTTAAAAATTCAAAAACATTTTCTTCTTCATAATTACACGTTTATTATCTCATGAAAAAAACGTACTAGGATTTGGATGAAATCAAGACTTATGATCAATTTAAGTTTAAAGAAAATATTTAGAACAACTTATGACTCCATTCATTCATACTCATTTGAATAAGAATAAAATGAGTATGAATGATGGATGATTGATGCATGACAATAATCCTTGATTGTCTCAGGGTTAAAACCGAGAATGAGTAAATACAAGTGACAATAAATTCACAACAAACATAAGTAAATATGAGACACAAGAAACAACGTGATTCATATTCTGATGAAGGTTAGCTAGCTAGAGATTAAAGCAAAACAAACGAAGTAACCTCAACAATCTTCCCCTTTAACTCATGATGAGGAAACAAAAATCTTTGTAATCTATATTACTACTCCGCAAAAAATTATAGAAAAAAATCCAATACACATGAGTTAAAATCAACAATTTTCCACTTATCTCATGTTGGGGAAAAAATAATCTCTATATTCTATGTTGTAATTTCTCAAAAAGTTCTTGAAAGAAATCCGAAACACAAAAGTTAACCTCAACAATCTTAACATAAAGTCATGTGGAGGAAACAATAATCTCTGTATTTTATATCATTACACCGCAAAAAATTCAAAAAAGAAACTCAACTACTCTTATTAACCACAGTTAACTAGAATTAAATTGTAGTCATAACAAGATAGAGTAATAATATAAATAGCTAATTGAAAAATTTACGAACATAGATAAAATAGAAATTTATATAATTATTCATCGGAAAATTCTAGAAGAATATCTATCACAAGAAATCTCTTGCTAATCAAAATTAATTAGAATTAAATCGTAGCCTTCACAGGATAAAGTAATTTATAAAGAGATAACTGAAAATACTATGTTAGCAAACTTTATCTGTGCTTTCCATGCATAAAAGCACAATGTTGCATAAAACTCTCCTAACGATTAAGTTTGTCAATACATCATCTATATTGAGTTTATTGTCTATGTTGATTAGCTCAATCATTTTATAAAATAAGCTTGTCTCATAAAATGATACTTGCTTGATGTCAATATATTTCACTATGCTATCCATAACTTGATTTGTAGCCAAATGTAGATGATTCTCGCTATCACAATAAAAAATGATTACGCTTTGTGTCAATCTCATCTCCATGATAAGCCTGCCTAACCAAATAATAATCTTTGTTGGTTCAGTTGCCGTCACATACTCAACTTTCATTGAACAATGAGCTATGTATTTTCTTAAGTTAAATCTTCAACTAATGTTTTCACCATCAAATGTGTCGTGTATTTTTGTATATGCTAGATATAGTTGTTGGGCTAGGGGTTCAGTTCACGTATGGTATAGATTAACGAGCTTGTAGCGTTGGACAAGTGAATGTACTCAAGCGTCGACCTGGATTCTCGAGACGAGTGGATTGGGCTCGACTTATGTACGTGTGACCGTTTTGTTGCCAGTGTGGTAATCAAGACTGATGTGTTTGCCAGAGGGAAAAAACGCGTCAAACTTCACTTGAAGAACTCAGTTACTCGTTGGAGATCGTAAAAAGCCAACGAGAGTGATTGAGGTTTTTGCAATTTAAATCACTTGAATCAGTTCAGAGTTCAAAGTGGTTTTGGGCAGTAAACCGTGCTAAGGGAGAAGAATTTGTCATGGTTTTTTCAAGGTTCATGGTGATTTTTGCAGTTAGAGTTCGAATCAAAGGTTTAGAGATTTTACTCGGTGGAAGATTTTTTGTGTTTGTGACAGTATCGACAGAAGCTGCTATGGTTATCTCAAGGGGATAATGTGTTGTAGTCTCGCATGTCCCGAGAGTACAAGCACTTGGATGAATACCTCTACTATCAAACGTCGAACACGAGAACAAAACCAACGTTGAAATGATTTGTGTGTCACTTGGATTAGGCACGACGATTTACGATATGTCTCTGGATTTTAGTGAATCGATCATCAAATTCTGGCAATAGTGGTGTTTTTGAAGGCTGTACTTCAGATGTATCCTCAGCAGGCAGGTACTTCCTTAGGTTCTAGAGAATTTGGTGTAAAGATTTTCACATTCTTTATGATTGTGAACCAAAGAGAGTGAATTTGAATCTTGGAGGTGTAGGTAGAGCATCCAAATGGAATGTAAACTGGTTGATCCAGTTATTGCTCATGCACGCTTGTAGGATCAATGCAGGAACTAAAACTGCCACTAGGATCAAGTTATCTCTCAGCTGTTACTATTCGTAGGACGGTCACATGTCTAATTCAGGAGAGATTTTGGTGAAAAAGTTGTAATCATCAATGTACTATACATTGCAGATGGAAGAATTGGGTTGATTTGGTGTTGAAGGAGGAGCTGTCGGGGATGAGCACAGAGATTTACAAGCAGAGCAGACAAAGTGTTTTTTTCTCTTGCTTATTTTTTTGAAAGAGGAAAAATAAAGAACACGCTTTTGAGCTTTTTTCGGCGAAGAGTTTTCTTAATCTTTTCCTTTCTCTTTTTCATTCTCTTTACCCTCTGGAGTAGATGATTTTATCTGGTTTGGGCTCACTCTTACCTGAAAACGTTTCCATCAAAATTTGTGTTATCACGTCAGTAGATACCACGGATTACTTCTGTTGCACATATGTAACAAGTTCAAATCTGCGGAGCAGATTCTTCATGTTGTCTTTTCTTCATTGTAAACGGATGACAAATATAACGATTCGAATGGATTCACTAACGTTTTCTTGAAGGAATCGAGGTGGATTTGCAAATCTAGATGCCAATGGTTTGAGCCAGAACCCATGCACTAGTCTAGAGTATGACACTAGAGCTAGATGGCATGATGAGGTTGATGAGGAGATGGTGCTCGGTTGGCATGCATTTGCCTTCATGTTTTTGTTGTGTGAGACTCTAGTAGGGAGTACCACTTGACATCTTGCTCTAGTTAATCTTCAAATACTGAAGTTAAAGATGATGCTACAGATCAACGTGATATTCACTATGATGCTTTAAAATTGGAGTTCCTACACACCAGTGCCAAGCACAGTGGGTGCCAAGGAGCGAGATCGTGTTCTCTAGCGGGCAAAGAGATATCGATTGGAGGGAGCACATGTTCTCCGAGTGTGAGAGGACGGCAGGGTACGAGTAGTGCTGGATCCAGCTCAGAGAGCGCGCATCGTGCGAAAGGAGTTGAAACATAAGGAGTTGAAACATTTTGGAGTGAAGCGTACATACAACTTACTCTTTGGTCAGTATTGGTGGCGTGGTATGCATACTCAGGTACAATAGTTGATATCATGTTGCATGGTTTGTGATCGGATGAGGGCATCGTTCAATGCCCTAACACCAAAGTTACATCCATTACCCATCATGGGGTTGGATTACCGTTGGAGTTTGAACTTTGCTGGGTCATTACCTTTGACGGTACGACATCATCGGTATGTGTTGGTCATGGTAGAGCATTTCTTCGAGTGTATTGAATTGGTGGCATTACCTGACAAGGCGAGTGAGAAAACAGCGTATGCCTTCCTTGACAGGATGCTTAGTCACTTTGGCGCACTTGCTGAGGTGTTGACCGATCAACGTATAGAGTTTCAGGATGAGTTTTAGGTCTTGTGTGACAAGGCGTCTATTTTCATCGATGAAGCGGCTGACCCGCATCTTTCCCGAGGTGCCTCCTCGGCGAAGACGACGACCCGTCGAGCCTTCGGAGAAATCCTAGGTGAACACCCCGCGAGCCGGTTCCTGCATCGTCAAACCGTCGCGAATTCACCGAGTCAGGATATGCTCTGGCTCGTCGGGTCGCCGCCTTCCCGCGGTACGTGTCCGTCGGAACGCAGGCGTCGACCGTCCGGATTGAACTCCAGTTGGAGGAGCCAGTCCGGACGCCCTTGTATTTAAGATGAGGTTCTGTACTGGCGAATCAAAGACTCTTTCGGTCCTTGTCAACCAGCAACTAACCATTGGCACCTGAGCATACGAAGATACAGTAAAGTTGCAGTTGCGATAATGGTGAGGAAGACACAAAAACGTAATCATAAATGTCTGATAGCGGATAGACCGTTGCACCAAATATGCAAATAATGCAATTACAAGTAATGATCATTGAACCAAGTCGCGAGATCAACCGGAGGTGGATGATTTGGCTTAATGTGTTGTAGAGACGGTGAAGAAGGCGTTGCGCAAGTATGGCCTACAGAAGGGGCATCTTGGGGAGTGGGATATTCAGTTACCATGGTTGGTCATGGGATATCGATTAGATCGTCAAGCATCATTGACTTACTTTTCACCATATTTTTTGTTGTACGGCCGAGATCCAGACCTGACGACATCAATTCGTCGTGAGTGTAGGGAGGTGGTGAACCTTGATGACCTGAACATGTGGGTGAGAGTATGTTCTCAACGTGCAGAGTTCTTTCGGAGAGTTATGCCTGCCACACTTGAGAATCTTGCGATTGTTCAACATAGAGATACATTGCGGTTGGCAACCATCCGGGTAGAAGGTTATCGACCATCGATTCGTCGGTTTCATGTGAGAGACCACGTCAATCTACAGCATACTGCACCGACAACATTGGATGTGATGGCGGGACGTGCTATCTTGCGAGTGCGAGAGTTGTTAGCTTCGGGAGTTCTCATGTTGGAGTATCGTGACGGTGTTGTTTGGAAGGATCATGTGCACAAATGTGCGTCATGTCACCTCCCAAACGTGGATGGGACTATGGATCCAAGCTTAGCAATAGTACATGCTGGCTTGAAGTGCATGCTATGTGGGTCAGCTGGTCATGCGGCTCGTATGTTAGTGTGTGATAGGTGTTCTAGGGGATGGCACATGTCGTGCATGACTCCATCTATCAATGTTGTTCCGGCTGGACGATGGGTTTGTACTCGATGTACTTCAGAGGGGTAGATGACTTGATCTTCACATGTTATGAATTACAGATAGGCAACTAACGATGGGGCGACATAGCTACGATCTACTGGTTCGCGCACCCATGAAGGTGTATAACATGTAGTTGTAAATAGGGCTACCTTGGAGTTAGAGGGACTTGACTGCTAGCTAGAGGGGGCGAGTTGTGATACATTTGAGTGTGTACGCTCTCGTGTCCTATGTGTGTGTGTATGTGAGAAGCATGTCAACGATATAGAGTGTATGGCGATATATATTCGCACGACAAATGTAAACACAAACCTAGTTGTAGATCTCTATTTGTCCATATCCTATTTATAATTAGCATCAACATAATCCAACAAGTAATCTGCTTTAATTTATATATCATCATATAAGTCAAAATCTACATTACTCTTCAAGTATTTGAGAATTCATTTCATTACTTCCCAATGAAACGTCACTGGATTTGACATGTATTTGCTGATCTTGTTCAGCGCTAGAGGAATATCAAACCTAGTGCACAACATCAAATACATGAGACTGCTCATAGCTTGTTGATAGAAAACACATGACATTTTTTCTTTCTCAATGGCATTGGCAGTACATTGAGCTGCAAAAAGTTTTAAATGTGATGACAAAGAGATCCATACTACTTTCGAGTCTTCCATGTTGAATCTGTCAAGTGTACATTGAATATATTTGTCTTCACTCAATCATAATCTCATCTTTTCCAAATCCCTATGAATGTTCATTCCTAATATACTCTTTGGTTCATCCAAATTCTTTATCTTGAATGCATATTTCAACTAGTTTTTGCATTTATCAACATTCATTGGTTCTTTGTCAAAATAAACATGTCATTCACATAGAATAGTAAAATTTCATTTCATGAAGATTTCATTATTCATTTTCTTCATGTATATACAAGGATCATATAAACTTTGTGAAAAATCTTATGACTTAATAAATCAAAAGCAATTTGTCAAAAATTATATAAACTTATTATCTAAGTTTATATTTCAAAGTTTATGTAATATTAGATTAGAGATGCATACACAAAATGGAATGTGTTGTGATATCAATAAGTATGTGATTTGGCTTGTTTTGCATCCACAAAGAGTACAAACTGTTTATTTATATATTTCAACTAGATGAAGACTTAGCTTCAACTTGCAATGATATCCAACCTTCAATTATATCATTTGTAAGGTTAGAGTTATGTATATTAGGTCATAATTATTATCACATAAGGTCCAAGTTTTGGTCCTCGGGTCTTGTGGTCCAACCTTGGATGAAAGTGATCACTTCTCGTAAAATTGGAAATTCCCTTGATCTAATTGGTGACATGAATAGATCTTATCACAAATAAATATTATGATACATTACAGCATTCTTATTAGGAATCAGAGCCCAACATTGGGTGACCATGCTCAAAGCCATCCATGGGTTTTGGATGACATTATTTTGCCATGGGTGGACACAAGTAATGCTAAGGGTAGTGTTTGTAAAGATCCAACCAAGAATTGATGTACAATCATATAAATAACATGGGTGGACACAGGTAATGCTATGGGTGGGTTTTTGTGTCTCTGCTGACGGATAGGGTGAAGATAAATCTTCAGATTTGAAGTAAAATGTTGGCATATGCTAGAAATATATATAATTGATTACAGATTACATGTTGTGTGACTAGTTAGTTTTAATCTATGGTTAGTACAATTTGTAGTTCAAGCCATCACAAGAATCCTTCAAACAAGTAAACCAAATAAAATTTGACTACGCATGAGAGTCGAGGTTAAACCGGGCGGGTTAGGCACGACGATCATGTTTAACCTTCAAAGCTTACCAATGATGTCCTCGATGAGAGGTTTCAGCTTCAAAGCTTACAAATGATGTCCTCGATGAGAGGTTTCAGCGTCCACGGTGAACTGCGACCGCAGACGGATTAGCAGCAGATCCATCACGTGCCGGACTGGGTACTCGGTCGACCAACCCGGTAGCGGCGGATGCGGGATATCGGCGGCTTTATCCGAACCTGGTGCAGTCGGTCCGGGATTGGGCCCACCTACGAGGTTGGGCTCCTCATTGGCGGGCGATGATCATGCCCCGCCGCTTGCAGATGATGAGCCCGCGAATATTCCCCCACACAAGATCAGGATTTTGCTGACGTGGCCGAAGTTTCAAATCGCCCGGCGTCGGATCAGAGACTGCTCGAGCGCAAGGGCCCCGAGCGCCCGTTTCTCGTCTTCGGCAGAGCTTCGAGGAATTTGGCGGACGGGGGCTCGGGGACGTTTGCTGAGCGCCGTCGTCGTGGGATCAGAATCGGAAGTCAGTCGGTCGACCGATCGAATTTTGTTTGAGGAAGGATTGCGGGGGAAGGATGGCAGCCTCGGCTTGTTGTGGGAGCATGGCGACATTTCAAGCCTGCTGTCAGCCCACGACGGCGGGAGCTCGGGGCGGAAAATTCTCGGGAAATTTGCAGAGCGCTCTGCTGCCGAGCACCGCGAGGTTCAGCGTCCGGAGACGAGGCGCAGCTGTGGCACATCGGGCGGGAGTGGCGACTGCCGAAGTGAGGTTCGTGGGCGTCGAGGAGGCGAAGCAGATGGTGGAGAAAGACGGATACACTGTTCTGGACATCAGGGACAAGTCGCAGTACGAGCGATCCCACATCGCGAATTGCGTGCACATCCCTTACTTCATCGAGAATACCGACAATGACATCGGCACCATCATCAACCGTCAGCTCCATAACAACTTCTCCGGTCTCTTCTACGGTCTCGCTTTCACCAAACCCAATCCCGATTTCGTCCCACAGGTGACCTCGAAATTCTCCAAGGATAGCAGCAAACTGCTTCTCGTGTGCCAAGAAGGGCTGAGATCAGGGTACGCAGCTGAGAGACTGGAAGGCGTGGGATTCCAAGATGTGGCCTACATCAACTCTGGATTGAACAAAGTCGCTCCCGGCGTTTTCCCCAAGGAAGGCGAGAAAGAGCTTCAGGATGCAGGCAAGGGTGGGCTAGTCACAATCCAAGGACCTGTGTCACGCGTAGTTGGTGCCATTCTTGTTCTGGCCTTTCTGTTCTTGCAGTTCTTCCCTGATCAAGCCAACGAGCTCTTCTTCAAATCCTAATGATATGCTTAGTTACTGTCCCCATCCGCTTTGACTGTAATCTCCGATGAGAGTCCAGTTTTGCACTTGTATCTTGAGTCACTTTTACAAGAATTTGTAGATGAAAGCTTCCTCTCATTACAGCGAGTAAATTTTATCGACGAGGAGCTCAGAGCACCCAGTTCCCATGTTCAATACTTGTACTAATAAGAATTATTGTTGCACTTCAGTCGGACTCTGATCATTGTAAAAGATGAAATTCTCACTGATTTCTGGATCCATCAAACCGTCCGCCCTGTACTTATCATGTGTCTTGTGAAGGGGCTTATGGTCTAATCTCCCGGGTCTGTAATCTGCGGTTCCGTGTTATGCTCTTGAGATCGATCACGTGTTACCCCCGTTTTGAGGGAATTACACTTGTTCAGGCTTTGTACATGGTGTGACTTGTACGTATCCCGTTCCGTCATGCGTGACCAACCAGTCTGCAGATCGGCATACTCTTCAAACTTCGAAACGTGTTTGTCAAAATACTCCACAGGTACCGTGAAGACGTAAAAAAGTGACGGCTGTCACTTTTTTAGAACTGCGTGAAGACTAATAATTCCTCATCTTTTACTATTCCCAAGTCGATCGCCTCGCATCGACATGGCGACAAATCTTAACAGACGAAATTGAAGAATATATCTTCTCGTAGTAATCATTTGGCAGTCGCTCTGAACTTGAAAAGGACTAAGCAAACAATATACAAGAAAATCGAACCATGCACTCTGTTACTGACAATTTATTTAATCTCGAAAACCACAAGATCGTTACACTACTCAATCTACCACCCTTGGTATTTTGCGTGTATAATCAACTCGTTTCCATCCTTTATCTACATTTTAAAGAGTAGCTGCAAGGTTGTAATATACTTTCTTTACTTTCTTTACTTTCTGCGATGGTACAAGTGGTAATTTCCTTACCTGATAAGTTCCGCATACCTGATACTAATCAACGATGAGACTGACAATTAGGCAGCCCGTTTTGAGATCGATATCTTTGCAAAGAGTCAGACGTACATTTGACTTCTAATAGACCGGTAGGATTAACCCACAATACCGAAAACGAGCCTAGCATCAATATAAAACCTGATGCGAAACGGGAAGCAGAATGATTCTAAACCTTCACACTCCATGAGTAACACTCTTGCCTTCAAATGTTGGGGATTGCGATCCTGAAGAAGGTGGCTCGCAGGGTTTAAGGGTTTAGGCGAAGCACAAGTCGAACCTTTCGGGATTCTAGCCTAATCTAGTCTAAGCTGTTTTGCATGTGTGCGTAGTAGCTGGAATCTGGCGTTTGCCTGCGCTTTCAAGGTTGACAATTGTGGTGGTGGAATTCCTTCATGCTCGACCACTCCATGTTTTCAAAGAGTTCACCACCACAGGAACAACCAACCGATGCACGTGTAAGTTGAACATTCTTTGGAGCTTCTTACTACTAAAAGTGCCATGACAAAATCCAAAGAGAATGAAGAACGGAATGGACCGAAGAACTTACTAAAGCTTGCAGCAACGCTCCCACATAAGGCGGCAGTTAAAATATCGTGAGACTGCACCCAACCTGCCAAAAATCCACCACAAAAGGAGTTTCCACAACCTGTTGGATCAATTACACCTATGATACCGGCTTCTTCGATCTGCTTATCTTCTGAAACTTGCAGCAATCCTCGAATGACTCCATGAAACGCAGGAACCTCCCACGTTTCTCCGGTGTCAGCCCTGTACGAAACAACCCATGAGAAGCCTGAACAGTATACGGAGCAATCAACAAGGTAACAATCAAAACGCTTGAATATTAACTCAGATATCTTGCACTAGAAGCACTTTTCACTTCTCTCTCTCACTTCGCATCTGCGTCACATTGTCTACAAGTTTTGAAAAGAAGGACTACTGTGGGTGACTGAATGTATACCTGTGAACAACACATCCTAGCGGTCCACGTCTCAAAGAGACAACCTGCATTGAAAAAGTGTCAGTAGAAAGTTACGAAGTACAGTTTGAAGATAAAAGAGAAATCAAATGCTTAACAAGAACGACATTATTATACGATAGGGAAAAGCAAGGAAATGTGTCACTGTGCCAGAAAAAATCTATCTAGGGCACAAACATCACAAGCGGACCTCAGCTCCAAGCTCCACAAGACGATCGATGAGGTCCAGAGGAGGTCCAGGTCCAACAAGTGAAACAGCTTCTTTCTCGTTGGGAGAAAAGATGTGGCCCCCGGTTACCAACGTCCTAAACAATATACAGGAAAACGCTGCTCGAGGTAAACATCTAATGCAATTTGGGAAGCCAGAAAAGATTAAAACATTTCCAAGAATTTATTATGCTATACACTATCATAATACATTCCTTTGATAAGAATGCTATGCTCAAACAGATAGCCGTACTGTGCGTCTATACGGTCCACTAGAAACAAGTATGAATTAGCTGAACTACATATAATACCTGGCTATTAGGTGCTTCCAGAGAAATACACTCTGAAAAGGGACTTGGACTACATTCGCCTACGATTAGACTGTTGGATTTTAAGTTGGTTAAGCTCATGACATCGCTCTCAGTGGGGCAAACATAATTTGATAGTTCTGTACAAACGTTTGAGTTAGGTCTCCAGTACTCAAAATTTATTACCTTAGCTCAGATCGTGTCAGGATATCCTCGGCATGAGTATAGGGCTCGATGCTCACAACAGCAGCTCCGGTACTTCGAAGCTCTTGCATAAAATCTTTGTCTAATGTACTCGGGTGCACACATGCGTGGTAAGCTTTGGCTTTTCTGATAACAATACGTACACAGCGTTGAGGCAGGCGTGACAAACAGCTCCCTTAACAGGGCAATTTTCTCAAATATCTGTGAAGTAACTAGGAACATTACCATGCTTACAAGGAACACACGTGTTAGTCACATGAACCAGTCGTTGAAGTCGTAGCTGTTCTACAATGACCGCGCAATTCTATGCTCCGAACACAACAACTTAACCCTCGTTGAGAAAACATTCAATACAACGACATCCAACTTACGATCTCCAAACGCATGGCTGGAACTTGAACAGACCACTACAAAACGGAAGGAGAACAGTCTAGCGGGGATGTAGTTGACTGCAGACTTTTCAAGCTTTTCAAGCTTCAGAACCTCGGGAAAAATCCGATACAAAACCTATACTTCTGTCTCATTTCTGAAAGAGGAGTAGCACCTATATATCGGCGGAAGCTCAGAAATTGTCGGCCGCAGCATTCCCCATACCTCCTCTCCTAGTTCCACTCTCCAGATCTGTTCACAGCAAGATAATAAAACTCAATTGATGTACCATGCAGTATTGCCTCCTTAAGACAAACAGCTGCATGGGTTTCCTCTCGCATCTTCGGCTGTAACAAGTCCCTCTACTTTATCTGTGGACTCGAGAAGGCCATGAGGTGAAAATTCTAGCTCTACGGTGCTTCTAAAACTCATTCAACATCACTATCTTCTTGTTATGTGACGTCAGCTCTTTGCAGTAGGCAGTCAAATACAAACCTGGCCACGCCGGCCATCTTCCTCCAGAACCTACACATTTCAGCACCCAAATGTTCATCATATATTGGAAATTCGTCCGCTCAGAACGAGGGCATCCGAGCGACGAAAGCACTGCGGCAGGAATGCTACTAATTACTGCAAGTCCAGCTACACAGTGCCGGTCCCAACACAAAAGATTACCTAAATTGCTTTTATGAGCGCAGGCTGCAAAGAATCTAAAGAGACGCAAATTAAACGCTGATCGAATGGTTTTCTGCTAACATGAACTCAATGAGGCTCGACTAAGTAGCCCTGCATTCAAAACAGGTCTGACACCAACTAATCCCAACCTGCCAAGCTCTTAGTGTAGGATACGGCCAATGTAAGAGGCCATTGACATCAATTTTCATGTTTTGAAGCCATTCTTGGCATGAACTTGGAAAATCTGACCCTACACGCGCTGCTAGCCCAACCCTGCACAGAAACGAGTGCATTTAAGGACGACGACGACGAAGGAATCTCCGTCTCTCCACCAGACTTCAGAATATCATCGCAATTCAATCGTACTTCATTTCACCATTGGCAGACAAAGTTTGAAGACCAGTAATAATCGAGACCGTCACTTCGCGTCGGACAGGTGATCAAGAATTTCCCAGGTCACGCCAGACAAAATGCAAACTGGGAACATCAGGTTTCTGCTCCGGGTGCGGTGACGCATAAATCCTGACATCATACTTCATCTTCTCTGGGGCTTTGGGGTGGGACGGGATGGTATGGGATGGGATGGGATTGGATTGGATGGGCCCGGGGACTTGATAATCAAAAGCGTCGTTCACTTCAAAGCCTGCACGCTCGGAGATTGTCCACGCACCTCTCTTGATCCGACGCCCAGAGCTTCATACCGAAAGCCGTCTGCGGCCCTGCAATTCAAAACGCACGCTCAACTTCCCGATTCCGACATTCGCAGCCAGCTCTAAAAACTCCACGAACGATTCCAGCACACAGGATCGGGGCGGGCAGGCAGGCAGGCAGGCACGTACCTCCACCTCCGAGACAGCACATGGCCGTGTGGCCATCAGGATAGACGATATCATCGACAATGATCGTAAATGTCACGAATTCCATCGCCCCTCGAAGAAGCTCAGCGCTTCCGAGCTCTGCCGCGCGCTGCGCTCCCTCACAGCAGCACAGGCGCCGATCGCGAATTCATCTTCCCCCCGCCCCAGCTCGACCGACGGCCGCGACCGGTTTTGCTCGTTCATCGAGCGCGGACACCGTACGACCGGTACCTGGGAAGGGCCCTGGGTAACCGGCTGTCAGCTTTCCGACGACATGTCTCCTACGGACGCCATCCGTCGCTCTCGACGCCCGACGGTGAGTACTGTACCGTCTCAGAATTCCCGCCGTACCTCGCCGTTCGTCCGGCTACCGGGAGACAAGAGCCCCAACGCCGTTCGTCAGGTGTTGACGTGGCACTGCACTACGTTCGGCCGAAGCCCACTGATGCAGAGCCTCTTTCCTCTGGCCATTTCTCTTGCTGAATAATAAATAGCCTTTCTGTCGGTTGATAATTCATGAGGTTCTAAACATTCCAATGTGCTGAGACCGGGTGACATGAACAAATCAGGAAAATCCCAAAAAAATCGTTGTGTGGGCATCAGCTGATTCGGTTCACTTGTCGTATTTTTTGCACTTTGATTATTGAAACAAGAGAGATCACGATTCCTTACTTATTTTGACCCAGTCACGTTAGTTGATGCTCCTTGTGGTATCTAGACTCCTTTCCGTTAAATGTTTCATGTATGTTTTGTCTGCTACTGCATTTATAGATTATTTATAATATAATATTGTCATGGTATATTATACATAATCATTCCCGTCAATCTGATAGTGTATTGAGTCCGACCATCTCTTTTTTTAATGTTATTCGATGCTACAAACCAGTTGGTATTGTATTGTATGGAGTCTTCCTTTCCTTTTTCTATATCATTCGATACTAGAAAGATTCTAACACAATCTAGCACAGTAACATCATACATTGAAAGTATTCCATCATTCACATGTAGCAGTCTTGAATATAATACCCTCTATTTTTTTTTGCACGTGACGTTCCTGATTACAGACTCGGGGTAGGTTGTTCTAGACTACTATTATCGGTAACTGAATTCTATCACTTCATAGTGAGATAAATATACATCCACGTGTTTTATAAAACCAACTTACTTTTTTTAATGCATTATTGGACTGATAGAGAATTTACAATTGCCAAATTTTGTATTGTGGCCCTACCTGGAATTTCATAGTGCAAATTTCTCACCACGAGACGAGAACGATATGTGTACATCTTGTATTCAGTACACTACATGACAAGATCACCTTTTAGGAAGAACCAGTTTATGATCCCAATCGGCCGCCTCGGTCCACACGGACGATGGTCTGTGAGAGAAAGGCCCATTTTCCTCAGTACGGGTAAGACATGTATAAGGGAGAAGACGAGGCGCAGATGAGGGCCTTGTTCGTGGGATGTCACGTCACCCCTGTACCAATTTACAATATTTTCTTCACACGTGGTGGCTCCTATGTGCACTCATGGTTCGGTGTGTTGACTAGTCATTATTTCGCGACTGGACATCGTCAGCTCCTGTGCAACATTATGGACTGCTTGACACCTCGTCTCCTGCTCACAGCAAGAGAGGGGTTCTCGTCATGCCCACTACAGAACGACGACGGCTCTTCCTTCTCATTCCATCATTTAATCAACAGGTTTAAAAAAAAAAAACATGGAGTGTTCATTAATGCCTGAACCAACATGCTTAATGAATTGTGCCAAATCTGCAATACATCACTCTGCTCCCATGCATTGATTGCCTGCAGATTTGGGCTACGGGACTGATGTCTTGTCGGCCACGACTGCAGCCGAAACCCTGTCCTTGATACCAGACCTAGATTTCTAGTCCACGGCCTGTCTCTAAAATCGTTCTCTGCAGAGAAGGAAGAGAAAAAAAAAGGCAAGTGTGGCAACAACGCAACGAGGCAATCAACGAACGCATAACCCGGATGCCAAATAAACAAGTGCCGAGAAAACCCTCGCAGTTGACATTCAGCCACATGAGACGAGATCGAGGCAAAATTTGGAAGCAAGCGAGCGAGGGTTTCCAGAGGCTCGATCACGGGGGCGGCGAGATGCAGGAAGACGACACACTGGACATTCGCAATAATCGAGTACGCAGTCTGCAAGCTATGAGATTCTATCATGTATCAGTTCTTAATGCATTCCTGGAAAGAAGGCCAGAGCCACACATTGGCATTACAGTTCATTCCGCGAGCATCGTGAAGTGCTTGACGTATAGGGTGACATCTGTGATCAGTCTGAGATTCAAGCTCAGGTTAGTTAGTGGCAGGAGGACGTAGGCTCCCAGATGCAATCTGTCACAATCTGTCACAGCCGCTGCGAGATTTAGTGCAAAGAAGTCAGTCATTCGAAAAACTGCGAATCGGTTCGAGCCGCTACAGGAAGACTGAATGGCATCTTCTTTGTGAGAAAGACAGTATATACAAGAGAATGTTCCGAGGCAAGGCACAGCCGCAGCATCGACAGCTCCTGATCCTGGAAGAGAGAGAACCACCTCCTGAAGGAAATGAACAAGACGCTCAGGACGGAAGAGATGGAGATGGAGATGGTCAGGTGCCGACCTCGAATCCGAACGCACACCGATGGAGAAGCAAAGCAAGCCTCGAGACGCCGGACAGAGCCCGGCCGGGTGCTACGAGAAGCACACAGGACATTTCATCAACCCATTCTCGTTGCAATCCAGGCACTGGGCAATCTGATCCTCGTCGTCCCTCACTTTGCGGCTCCCGTTGCACTCAATGCACGGCAAGAAGCGCAGCCCTCCGCAACCCTGACAGTGCTCGGGATTCCACGACATCTGCCTCGCGAGGCGGAACTCGGGCAGGAGGCTGGCCAGCCGGCCCTCGTCGTGCAATCGCGCCACCTCCTCGGCGCCCCCGACGTAGTGACCCTTGATAAACAACCGCGGCACGCTTAATTCCTCGCCGAGCAAATCAACGAGCTCTTGCCGAAAGCCCGAGTGCAGCGACACATCCCGCTCGTCGATAGCCACGCCGAAACATCTCAGCAGCAGCTTCAATTGCCGACAATCTTCGTACGTCTTTCGGATTCCTCGCAGGCTCGTGAGATACAGCACGACGCGCCGCTCGCCGCCCGGAGGACATCGGTATTCAAAGCGCTGCGAAGGATCCACGGGCAGCAAGCTTTCGTTTTCTTCCAAAATCACGGGAGGAGCCATCGCGCACGCTTGTGGGCGCTCTACGACATCATGAGCGCCCGAGTCCAACTTTAATTCTGCCGACTGCGCCTCGTCCCAATTCCCGGAATCTAGCTCGTTCTCGACGTTATCGAGCGCACTCTCGAAATACGGTAAGCTTCCAGATGTCGTGCAGTAAAACCAGCGCATAGTTGTGGCTGGCATTTTATACCCGGAAAGACTTTTGGCTCCGGCAAGAGGACGCTCGGCATCTCAACGACGACCTCCTCCTCGCCCCACTCCTCCTGCTCCTGCTCCTCCTCCTGCTACTGCTCATGACGCGCGCTCGATCCAGCGCATGGCTGCGCAAATCAGCCCCCTCCTCGTGCGCTCGCCCTGCTCCAAGCTGCCGCTCCACAGCCTCCACTTCGCCCCGGCGCTCGCTCTTCGGACCCGCCCGCCACCTGCCACCTCACCACCCCGTGACTCAGCACCCTCCCCCTCCCCTTTCCCCTCCGCCTGCTCTGTCTGCCTGCCTGCCTGCCTCGGGTTAGTTAGATTTAGCCTCAACTCCACTGTTCTCCCCCTTACCCGTCAAGCGTCGATCGGCTCTCCAGCACCATCCGTCCCTCGATTCATTCGATTCATTTCATGAAATCGGTCTCCTCTCGATTCGCCGACCTCGGCTGTCATTTATTTCGACCAGCGGTGCTACGATACGGATGAATTGAGTGAGTGTATGAATGTATGAATCTCGGTTCAGCATGCTGGGAGAATATGATTCGGAGTGCTCTGTCTCGGCATGATCTGACAGGTCCGTATTCATTGAACTGTGAATTCATTCATTCAGATCCTTTCTCCAATCTCGGCGGAGAGCAACATCTACGGGTCGAGATATTTTCTCGATCCCAAACGCGGGAGTCCTACGATGCATGTACTTTGGTGATGGAGATGTACATGGATGTTAGAGTACTTTGGAGTTTCAACATTTAGAGTTCAACATGGCGGAGTCCCACGCAATATCTTCGTCACAATGTTCTGGTCTAGAGGAGACTCTTGCCAAGGTTCCTGATGGTGAGTGTGGACTTCAGTTGGAGGTTTGAGGTGTTGAATCGTTCTAGCTGTCACACTGGATGCAGTACTTGCCGTAGCTTTGGAGGATGGACGCTCTTATGAACTCATACGACGAGCGCCATGGGAGGAACACAAGTCGCCAGTCGTATAGCCAGAGGGTATCTTACGACCGGATCCACTCCTTCATGGAAGAAACGAAGGGGTTAGGATGGTGCTAGATTCCAAAGGCTTCACGATGGAATCTATGTTCTATTCCAAAGTATCCACGTGGTTCTCATTTCTCAGCAGTGTGATGAATTCCACCAAGAGGTGCTAGAGGAAAAGATAGTTTAGTTATTCACGGTACCTTTTCATGATTCAAAGGTTCCCTACTCAAAGGTTCTACACTTCCTTGTTTCAGTCCAGATAAAAGAATAAGATTTCACTACTGACTTGTCTTCACCTCTTCAATGGTTATACAAGATTCATCTGGACAGTTATGATCGTTAAAAGGTGTACTAAATGTGCAATATTTTTGCCAACCTATATACCTATCTTTGACTCTTTGGACTATGTAAGATGTATGAATTGTGAATCTGTAATTTTTTATGTCTTAGTAATATCTACCAAAATATATATACTATATCTATCATTCATCAAAAATCAGATGATTTTATTAATATCAACATAATATATATATATAATAAATATAGGAATAAAGTAATTTTTTCATAAAATTCAAGAAAATGAACTCCAAAAATAATATTCATTTAACCTTCATTTAAGATAGTTTCATCTTTATAGAATTACATGTAATATTTTTTTAACTTTTTAAAAAATATTTGCTAGCACTTCAAGATAATACTTATTACTAAAACATTTTTAAATCTTTTTATCAATGTATTATACATTTTCTGCATGTAGAAAAAGCCCACATTCAATCCCATATTTTGCGTAATAAGAATTTCTCACCTTTTTCATTATCCAAATTTTAATTCATATCTAATATCTAAAAAATTAATATTTAATATGTATGGACTACATTCAATTTTTGTATACATAAATATATTTCAATTCTTTAGATCAGAAGAATTGTAAGTTATTGGTATGATTTATACTGAACTATATAGGAGCATTAAAGAGAAGTTTGATCCCAAAAAACATCTATATCAACATTCATTTTGACGTAAATGATTAAAGCTTGGAGTAAATGAGGTGAGCATGTCAAGTAAATTGACTTCATAATGAAATTATCAAAGCAATTATTCATATATATAAATATATATTGTCAATAGAAATCTGCATCGGATACCCATATTTGAAAGCCGCACCGTACGCGCCCGAACCTATGGGTATGAGTTGGGTTTGGATCAAACTAAAACACGGTTTGGTACAGATCCGGGTTGGACTTTTAATAGGATGGTGTAGAGCAAGGTTTGGTTTAAAAATGGATTATTATGATTATTCGCTAAACTGGTAGTGGAGGATTTTCTAACTACTTGCTCCCTACACAGAGTGCTGATTGGACTTACTTTCATCATCCGTGAATCCCGACGTTTGTCATGGTAATATCAATTGAGACAACACACAAGGATATGCTCAATCTGAAGAACAAAAATCACCGCTGGTCTGCAGAAAGAGGACGGTCCTCATTACCAAGTGAAAAACCAAAAAGCTAGTGCGAGTGTGTGATCATTATTCTCAATTATTGCAATCTAGTAGACTAGCAAACATCTTTGCTATAGTAATATTTTTTTGTCTACTGCAACAAATGCCTCACTGTTTATCAATAAATATCAACCAACGGAACCACCGCCATGTCCAAACACACATGTCAGCGTGCAAAGACCAATCAATTGATGACAACTACAACATCACACTGCGATGCGACTACAACTGAAAAGAAAATCATCAGTGTAGCGTTGAGGGACATGTGCGTCGTTGACATACGTCCATTTGATATTGTGAAGGGCAACAATTTCAAGAATTACATGTAGACCGTACTCAACATTGTCATTAATACAAAGGTGGACATGCATGTGAACAACATCCTTCCTGATATGACCACAATCATTAAAAATGTGCAGATCCAATGTGTTGGAGGTAGGATATTTACTTCCGTCTTGGAGTCACATCTAGAGGAAGGAATTCGGATTGGCAGCACAACCGATATCTAGACCGATAACATCAACAAGGTCTCTTTCCTATCGGCGAATCTCATCGATGACAAGTACACTTTGCATCACCGCACGCTTGCATGCACTTAGTTTTTTGGGTTCATCACGGATCCGACATCTTGAAAAAAATACCAAGGCGTTTTACAAAAATGTGTCATCAAAGATTATGATGAGATGACGATTGTCACCGACCGAGGCTCCAATATGCACTCTGCAAATGGCATTTCCAATTTCTATTATTGGATATCGTGTTGTGATCACCTCATTAAAACCATCCTCACGACGATTATCGACAAGAGTACTCGTATGGTCGCAAGCAAGAAATTTGCTCCCTTCTATGAGTTTTACGATCTAGCCTTTGAGTTGTTTGAAATTATTGATCAGGTCAAAGTTGTTGTAACATATGTCAAACAAGCGAATCTTCAAGATGAGATTACAAAGATAGTCAAGCAAGAAATGCGACGCGATGAAATTATGCCCTCTGTTGCATGATTAACGTCAACAAGCCACTCTCAAAATTGACCGAGATATTACGTGGACGAGGTCGCAGATTAAATTCCAAGGTCACCAGGATTGTAATCACAAGCTTCTCAAGGAGTTTATCGCTTTTTTAAAGCACTTTCAGTAGGCGACCCTAGATTTGGAGATGTTTGTAGAGTCTGCACTACACCATGTACTCTATTTTCGGCATAATCTGCTAAAACATTGCCACATTGTTACGGTAGATCTCACCATCAAGGAGAAAGATGGCACGATAAACACATTGAAGAAGAACATTTTTTATTCATCGCCTTGAAGTCAAAATTTTCCAAACTAATCCTGCAAAAGTTTGTTTGGGGCGACATTCATGTCATTGCCGCCCTACTCAATCCTAAAACCAAGCGTAATTTCAACAAGTTCGACATCGACTTTGCCGATATTGAGCTTGGCAAAAAAAATCTTGAAAATATGATGAAAGTATCAATTGATTCGCTCCAGTATCGGCAACAACAGTTAGCAATACCATAAAAAATAGAAACAAGACAACCGACGTGTCACGTGTTGTCTCGCCGAGTATAATTCTAAGAGCGATAGCGCCATTGACAGAAAGCTTCCCGCCGATGACATGCAGCTTGATTTTGCTATGATGATTGAGCTCAGCAACTATATTTGTCACAAGTGTAGCGACGATAAAAGCACATTCTTGATTATATACAAAAATTTATTTTGGTGGAAGAATCATCAAAACAAATTCTCCGTACTTTCTCGACTTACCCGCTGTGTGTTGGCCATTCCAGCATCTAGCGCAGGATCAGAGAATAACTTCTTGGACGCAAGTAACACGATGAACAAGAAATGCAACCAACTGCACCTTTCCAAGCTCGACAGCCTCATGTTTCTGCGCTTAATGCTACTGTCGTCTATTGTTCGTGTTACAATTATACCAAAAATAGAAAGCTAAATAGAAAACTGATGGATTTTTCCCATCTATCCATGTTACAGTTCCACCAAAAACCGAAAGCTAAATAAAAAAATTGATGGATTTTTCCCATTTATCCATGTTATGGTTCCATTAAAAACCTAAAGCTGAATAAAAAACTAATTTTTCCATTATTCGGGTCCAAGTCGGATATCATCTTGAAGGTGACTTGGATATGGGTTGGTTATCGGGGTTGTCTCTTCAGATATGATTAGTTTATGGGTACCACAAGCGCACAATTTGTGGGCATGAATCGAGTTTATGTAAGATTTTTAGATGTGATGCAGGTCTCATATTGTGAGTACATAAACGTTTGGAATCAAGTAAAGCTTAAATAACACAATATGACAATGTTTTAAAAAAAAGTCTCACTTTGTCGCGACTTTCAATCTCTTTCTTTTGATAATGAAAATAATTTAAAGTCATATAAATATTATTGATTATTGAAATAATTCAAAATAATTGAAACTTCATGATAAAAAATCCTATGATAAATAAAGTCACTCTTTTGATGATTGACATGAAGTTAAGATCATAAGTAACTTATTTTACAATAATCTTTTGATCATTGTAAAAATGTCAAATTACATGGTATATCCTTAATCTTAATTAAAAAAAAATTCACATTGTGGTTCTTCCAAATCATGATTGGATAAATTCTAAAACTATATGAGATTCTAGATTTAAAGTTTTATCATGTTGAGGTTTTTACATTAATTTCTTCAGTATAATTTTTTATAAACATGTACGTTTCAAACCCATAAGTAATCTGTAAATTACATATATATATATATATATATAAATATAAAACTCACATTCAAGTGGATAAATTTAATTTTTAATTACTCACAATTTTTCAAGATTAAAATGCAGAAATGTAATTTAACTTCAATTTTTTTTTAATTTCTAGATGATTTTATATGTGAGCAGATCAACTCAACATGAATCTCCAGGATATGCGTCTTATGTATAAGCATACACTAGTCTGTTATTCATTGTATAGGACAGAGAAAAGAATGTTTGACAAGCAAGATTATTTTCAGACAATCTCTTACAAAAAATTTAGTAATATATTTAATTGAGCCCACAATCATTGATTTACATAGTAGACCAATTACCTACTTAGCTGGGCTGACTGATATTAATAAAAAGATATGCTACCGATTCTAGTCCGAGAGGAGCATCAGTCAGACGTTCACGTCTGATACAATGAATGTGGACCCTTGAAGCACAAAACCGTGCATAATAAAAGTAAACCACTATAGAAAATTCACAGATCTCCGTGGAGATTCTTTACCAGTACCCGTTGAAGGTATGTCAGAAGCAAATATGCCTGGAACATATGGAATGATATATTTGTGTCTATGTAAGTTGCCTTCAAGCTCGGAAGGATGATGCCATAATATCCATACTACACAATGTCCTTGGAAAAGGCTGAAACGCTGAATACTGCCATATTTCCTGGACCAATGATGCGCTCACAGGAAGACCCGGTCTCCTCCTTTGTCTCGGGCTAGTATCAACTCCAAGAAGCAGGAGAAGCAGGCAGGGGGGGCGGGAATTCGTTGAGTCCGCCACCCCCACAAAGGTTAGATATTTGCACGAGCGCACGAACCAACAAAATTCCTTCCGTGCTTCCGCGGGGTGCTTCGAGCCGTTGCGGGCAGCCTCTGGCATTTTGCTCATATTGAGCTCGAGCACCTTGCGCGCCGGTCAGCGTGCCGGTCACCGTCTTCGAGGTAGCGGACCGGCAGCTCTGGCTAGGGTTATCCGACCGCATCGTTCGGTTCACGAGAACACGCCGTCGCGCGCGCAAATGCAGCAGCAGAGTGTGCCCGTCCATCATCCCCTTTGACTTCGGTCTCCTGCACTTCCCCATCCCGCCGTGGGAGCCCGTGGGGCCCACGAAATCGCCAAATTTGGTCCTCAAACCTTTCATTCATTCTGTCGTTCGTTTTCCTTCTCTTCGTGTGCATCTAATCGCAATTCTAGCCTTCCTTGGACGGAATGTTACTACCTCCGGAGCATCTTCGGGATTATTTCACACGAGTTGTCTCACTCTCTCGTTTTCTAGAAGCTTCTGGTAGATATAGTTTTGGTGGTATAGCAATTGTATTACCATACGTTCACTTTTGAATGGTTTTGGTAATGAAATTCTCGCAATGCATGGACTACATTCGACCAATTTTAATTTGATTATCAATTGCGTAGTTTTATTCTTTATGTGTGATTATATCATCGTTGTCACGTTCACTCAGAGCTTTGATGTACACATAATAAGATTATGAGGTGGTTTGCTTGCTTTGGATAGCTACCCTAGATATAGTTGACAGAATGTCTCATATGCTCTCAATGATATGAAATAATTTTTCCTTTTTCTAGTATAAAATCATTTACTTTTCGAAAAATTATTATACTTCAAAATCTTGACTTTTTTATTGGCAATGTATTTTCGTATGAATAAATCTCTAGTTCACAATGTGCATGAAATTTTTTTGAAACATTTATTTTTTATATATAAATATTAGATTTCTTAAATTAAAATAATAATTTTAGTTATGAAAAATACATTGAAAGTATATACATATATCTTAGTATATTAAATTTATGTTTAAAATTTTAAAATTAATTTAAATACAACAAAAAATATGTCATGAAATAAAATCAATTTTGGTCTTCTCAAATGATATTAAAATTACTTCATTCTTGGAAAATATACAATTAGTTCAATTTTTTTTTCAACTACAGTAGGACGAATTTAATTATAGTAAAAATTATTATCATGTAATATATAATATTAGTAGCTGTTACAGTTTAAATAAAGTAAAAATCATTGTACAGATAAGTGTTTTTTTAATGGATGGTAGTAAAATACATAAAAAAATTTCTTAATCATCAATAAAAGAGAATGATATACATGATTTGAGATAATTCACATGAAAATAAAGTATCTAATTATAATTAACAATGGCGTTTAATATCATACAAAATATACATTTTTTTCCCAAGATATATTAAACTTTAAGTTATTTATTCAATAATTACATTATACTTTTGATTTCATCCATGTAAACTATGACTATTCATTGCTCATTATCTTTTTCACTAGATTGGAATTTTCGTCTGCCACATAATCATTCTTCCTAACCATGCCGCAAAACGTTCATCACACAATATGATCCCGAGGAATATAACACTAAAGTACGATCCTGACATAATGCAGGATGCAAGTAAACCTCCAAAGATATCAGAAATCAACCGAATTTAGAAAAGAAAACTGAGTAGTGAAAAGAATAGAAAGAACTAATAATTCATACATGCAAGGTAGACTTAATTCTATTTTAGAATAATCTAGGACAAATGACAGAGACAGTCCAAAACTACCTTTGAAATATAATCCAAATGCATAACTTATGCATATCATTACTGCCTAGGGATGATACGCATGGACATTAAATGACTATTCTTCACGGTCTGTAATACTTAGAAGCTCATATGAAGCTTGTAAACTGTTTTAGACCATCGACACATGTGGCTTTAAATGATTTATTTTTGTTGAATCGAAGTGGAATTTTCCAGTTGATCAAAACAAACATTTCTGAAAGTGTCATACGGTGCTCTTGCATAATATGATGATACCATTTATACTACAATTGTAAATATTTCGTCTAAGTTCATTATGAGGAAAAAAATTTACATTGTTATCGATAGTTATCATAATTGTAATAGGCTTACCATATATATATAAGAATAGTACCATATGAACAAAAACTCTTTTTTTCCAATATTCGCCATCTTAATAAATTTTATAAATCTAACCTTCCATTAGATATATTGATTTGTAAAGTACTCTACTTGATCCAATACTTATAGATCAAGTTTATACATCTCTCCTTAATTCAGACTCCTAATCTGCCTTTGGGTACAAACAATACAATTTGACAGATATTACAAGCTTGACTGAAGAAATTTGGAACACTCGAACTATGACAATTGGTTTCGTGCTCAATAGAGGGGACGTCTTATTATAATCCTCAAGTATATTACTATTTACATAAACACTGAGATTGTCAGAGGTAGAGATTTAGATTTAAAACACTTCAGAGTAGTTCTTACTCAAATGACCTCTAATCTCCAAATATAAAAAAACTTCAACCAGTTTTGTCAGATGTATATTCACCTTCCAAATTCCAGGTTCGAAATCTTAAATAGTAAAATCAACATTGAAATTTTATTGTTCCCCATTCTTTTATTTTTGAATCAATTGGACACATTTAGCTTGCCCTGCCTTCGATGCATTGCACACTCTAAGTTAAAATCATCTAACTTGAAACAATTCACAAGTTCTGCTATGGATTCAGATTTTAAATTGAATTTTAAATTGATGTTTTCCCCTCTCAAAATTGCTACTACGACGCCCCGCTTATAACTATCTTAACTATGACATAACAGCTAATGATATCCTAACTACGTAATACTATTGGCTTCACACATGACGGTGTATCACATTTCTATTCTGGTGATTCTATCCATTTACAGAATCAAGCTTCTGCAACAAAATTCTGAAGCCCTGACCTTTCTAGCATTACAATATTTATTTAAACGGTTCAAACTACGTTCCTCATGACTAAGGGGTGGTACCTACTGATAACGATTTTTAGTACTCTTGGTTTGTGTTGGATCACTGCCAAATAACATACACCCGCTGGCCTGCTTTACACTCCACCTTCTTGACTTGGGATGACCACAACAACTCCTTATTCTGGAATCTGTTCAGATCGTCAGCAAGCGTCTTTAGCGGGATAGAAACGTCTCCTACTGCCCACCCAATTGATATGTGAGGTCTGGGATCCTGACACGTGCCAAGAATTGCGATCAGATAGTTCGCAGAACATACAAACCTTCAAACAAGGAATCATTCAGAAGTCTACAGTCAGATGAGCGTGGCAATGAATTCGTTGTGGATGCTGATGTGCACCTTATAAAACGTAGGAAGATTGTGAAGCTTAAAAACCTCATCGACTGCAAGAACCTGCTTATGCATCTGCACAGCAATACAGTAAGAGCAGCACAGTTGAGGAAGATAACTTTGGAGAACGTAACATCTTCAACTAGGCATCTGCTCAGACCAACAAGAAAGTGGCCAGATATAGTGGGCTACCTCACAGACGCCCGCTTTTATAACCTCCAAGGACAGAAAGGTTCTAGTTCTTTCGTCATTCGTAAACACCTCCCAGCTTCCAAACTCTGCGAAGTAACTGGAACCTCCCACGTGACCGAAATATTCATTCATTTTAGCGATAAGTCACTACACATCAGCTACAAAGTCTATTCAGCTGGTTGCTAAACAGTACTAGTCAACAAAGGCAAATTCAAAAGCTCCGACACATAGACGTACAGATTTCTCTTCTTTAACGTCTGGATGATCTTCCACACGTACTGTATACCTCCACTAATCCTCTGCTTTCGTATAGGACTTTTAGATTGGACCAAGTATAACACTCATTCAGACAAACTTCTCCCGTCTTCCTATTATGATGTCGTTGAAGCTAAAAGCTGATATATGTTCAGCATTGTATCGAATTAGGTGAGTCAAAGCAGGGATCTCTCAGTACAAGTTTCTAGATATTCAAAAACATCCAAATATTCACTATGGCGTAGAACAGTAACAATGCCAGCTCAAACTAACAGTTAACACAGTAAGATCTGTACAATATTTAAATTCAGAATGTGACTCTAATCAAGGAAATCAACTAATGAAGGGTTGGCTGTAGAAACTCTGTACTCATGAGGTACGTTTACTACCAGTCACTTCGAAGGAGTTTGCAGTACTCCTGGTCTAATCTCCGTCAAGAGCATTTGGCAGTGAGACTGAATTGAAATCTAGCACCAGGCTGCATGAGGCAATCTGAGAAACCTCTCCGATGCCTAGATATTGACCTCCCAAAACAACCAGGATTCCAGTTGCCCCAACAAAAGAAATCTGAAGTACATAATGAGAATAAAAACCTGGAACTTCATACACAGATATAAACAAGAAGATATGGATGAAAGGCAGCAAGATCATAGAGCAGTTTCCTGTAAACGAAGACACGGTCGTTATAAAATGAGATGGTCATAAACCATGCTGTTTCCTGTAAGGGAGCTCCCCTAACATCTAACAGCATAGCACCTGACCATCGTACCTTGCCCAAGAGCAAGGTACGATGTAGTCAGACAGCCGTGTGTACTATGCATCATAATGCGATACCAGATCAGGTATCGCAGTTTATCTGTCCTTACTTGGAGAGATTTCATCCGGAAAAAACACACTTCCTCGGTGTGGACAAAGCAATCATTCAGAGCGGGTAGGCAGGCTGTTCTATTTCTATCTACAAAACTAAAAAACAACCCTCGGTTTGAAGTTAGTAAGCTTGCTACTGAAGGTGAAAGGTCAAAAAAAGTCAACGTTAAAAAAATTTGGCACGAACGGGACATAGATATGTCAATAAACTTTCAAATTGCACGGAATAAATCTGGAAAACTCCACCACTGTGGCAAGTAGTGGTTTTTATAGGGAACACCAAACAATGACTGACATGGAAACATAATTTGTGAATTATGCTCTGAGCTCTCGATAGCAACCGGTAGAACCATGAACAAGGAAGCCTTCGGTAAATCTTCCTCGTGTATAAATAAGGACATGACATTATGATAAGGACATGAGGCAATTCAAGTTTATGGCCAAAAAAATGGACCATCAAGAAAGGAATTATTCAAGGAAGACGTAAAAGGAAGAATATGTACTTCAGCTTCCAAACAGGCTCTCAAAATGTGCGTGACAGATGACTTGCTTGCTCACATGCTTTTCCATTGTAAGATAAGACTGACAATCGGACCATTCTGTCAACAGTGCGAAGATGTATTGTAAGGTTCCTCCCTCACAGAAAGTAAGCGTTTATAACAAATGCTCTGCTACTGAAAAACTAAGATAGCTCTATGGTGAGGCTGTGATGACCTGGGATACGAACAAGAGTTGCTATTGACGAATGGTCATGGCCCTAAAAGGGGAAGTGCAACTCAAAGACTGAGTGGCTCCTGCTTTGAATCATGACTAGAAGTAATGTGAATTAATTGAACTGACAATGCAACACTTCAAACTGAACAGATGTACAGTGCAGTGCTTGTGAATACACTATGTACCGATTTTGAGAAGAAAATCTGCGCCGAAGCATGGAAACAACACTGTCAATCTGATGCACGCGAACTGCCACAGTTCTTGAGAGACTGATGTGATATTCTCCACCAAATTTGGAAATAGAAGCACCTTTCGCACTCACATCAACAATTTCGTCTCCAAGTAGGTGAAGGTCTGTAAAAAGCTTGACAGCCCTCTCGAACAGCGGCAGAATCTTGCTCTTGGCATTTGATGGAACCGTGACTGCACCATTCGAATCCCATGAGCTTCATGTGACACGTGACTTGACTGCTGTGGCTTTTAATCGATTCTGAAATCAGCTCTTTGACTTTTGAACCATTGATTTTTTCATTTCAGTTCCAAGCACAATACTCAGGAACGAGATAGAGTTCATGTACCGGGAATGTAAACATGAAGAGCGAAATTTCCCTCCACATGTGGAAAGGTTCGCAATCGTCCTCGATGCGGATCTTCGTCCTTTTCTACAAGGCCACTTCAATTTTCCAATTCTAATAAGTGATAGGATAAAACATACGTAGAACAGTATATGAACGAAACTCACACTCCTTTTTCTCCAAATTAAGACAAAGAGTTACAGATCCCTTGATCCAATTTCGGTTCGATCCAGTGATACTAAGAAAATGCTCCTTAAAGTTCCTCTTTGATCTATGATCACCTGTACATAAGAGATCATCTATAACCTGCAGCTGGTAATTGGCAGAAAGTAATTGGGAAGCGACCGTTGGCCTGACTCTAGAAGTTTTTAGAGCGTGCGTAAGTAATGACACAAAAGCAGTTTTCAGTAATTCGTTTCCTTCCGGTGCAAAGGGAGTTATGGGAAATAAGCTGGTCAACTCTTCTCAAGCATATTATATCAGTGCAATCTTTATTCCACTCATATGTGACCACACTAATTTCACTCAAGGTTGAGCAATCAGTCGTCCAAACAAGGAGAGAGTTCTTTGCGTCAAGGAAAGACTCGTGAAGTATGATGGAACTCTGCATGTTTCCAGTTCATAAGCTCCAAAAACGGCAGAAAGGCAGAATGGCAAATCCCTCCGACACGGGTACGAAGTGAGGACAACATCCAAACACTACAGAAGACTCTGCTTCCTCTCACGGTAATCAATCGCCTACGGAATCCCCACAGTATGCTCGTTCCTCCAAGAGAACCCTCAATATTATCATCTTGAGAGCATTCTGATTAGCGAGTGTGAAGGCAGGTGGAACTGAACCTCGGAATGCTGTGGGTAAATTCAGGAGATCGATCGGAGGAGGCGGCAAGACCATCGCAGTCTTGGAGGCCAGAGGTTTGAGACCACCCGAGCTCGAAGGAGGCTGGGCGATGGAGTCGGATTCTTCGTCAGAGTCGGAAGAATCCCCGTACATCTGCAGAGCTTCCATATCGAGCGGCAGAAACCTTCAAACTGCGCACAAAACAATGGAGGGCTCGCTCGCTCGCTTCGACGAGCTTCAGCTGCGGAGATCGAGCGCTCCCGCGGCTGCACTCTCTGGCACTGCATCGGAGTGCTCAGCGTGGCCACTCCCCAAAACCCGAAACCTCGAAGTCGGACTCGGCCCCAACATCCTCGTGCCCGGCGCCAATCCGTTCCGCCATAAACCCAGTCCCTCGTCGATGACTGCTGCCAATGTTACCGGTACTGTCGGATAGGGTTCGATTCGTATTCTAACAACAATACTCTCCAACCTTGTTCGTAACCGATTTTATTCTGGAATTATGTGAATTTATTCAAGTTACTAAGTTACGAATATAAAACTAGAATTAGAAGATACATTGCAAATCTGTTAGAAGATTGGGTATAATGAAATATTGAATGTTTCGCACATCTTGATGATAGGATTTGTTTGCGATATACTACATAATATGTTAAAATTTTTTGTCATTTTAGAATTGATTATTTATTTTAATTTCAAATAACTTAAATTTAATATAAATATATATTTCAAGTTTCAAAAAACTTTACATCATAATTACAATAATGTTGTTTTATATCAAGGTTACTATTGATAAATCATGCATACAAATTACTTACTTTAATAATTTATATTTTTTTGTTTTTTTTCATGGATTCATAAATTTTTGAATAAATAAATGGAAGATATATGATATTTGAATTACTGTATCCGGTAATCATTACAATTTCTTTCTGCACTTCATGTATCACAGATATAATATTTGGTGATAAATTAAAAATACTTTATTTCATTAAATTTTTTTATATTTATCAAAAATATTGAATAAAATTATATTACAAAAATATTTTACTTTATTTTCAAAAAAATAACTATGATTGCATCAATTTTTTTATATTTAAGAAATCATTAAAATAAATTATATAGATAAAAGTCGGCATTAAATTTCTATTTTAGAAAGAACGTGGCAAATAATGATTTTAGAATTAAAAGAAATGTATTATATCATTGTTTCGGTGTTGAATTAACAAAAATAAATTGAGCTTATAAGATGCAATATGTGAAAAAATATATTCATTCTCATGTAGATTACTTTTTCATGATTCTAGTTCTAAAAAAGGAGGAAATGTTTTAGGACATCTAACAAGTAAATATTCTTCAAATTTTACATTTATGAGTAAATTAAAGAACATGTGTATTAAGGGTGTAATTGTGGTGTTGAAATTCCATATGAAAGATGTGTCATTTATATTCTCGTGGGCTTGCTTTTAATATTTACCTTTGATAGGAGATAGACAATCATGTTGCAAGTTTATCATTACTAATGTTGTCAATTAACATATATATATCTTGCCCCAAGATGTATCATTTTCACATCAAACATGGCAACATACAATCTAGCTTGTTACAATGTAAATTTTTTCTACTATCAAAACGTCCATAACAAAAAAAGTTGAGGTTAAGGGCCAGCCTCGATACCTCCAGATGCATGCATTAGCAATAGTGGCAAAAGGTACTAGAGCGACATCCCCTACTCAACGTGAAATATACAATGCTTGAAACCCCGCCCAGTACCCTGAATTAATGGAGGTCCTAACATAGTGACAATGTTGCTAAGAACGCTGATGGCGCCACCACATGCGTAGAGACGAAGTTAGCAGCCACAGGTCACGTAAGAAATTTCGTCACTCCTAATGACTGCGCAAGCTGATCTGAGTTCTCGAATCGTGTCATGGGACGACAACTTTTATGGCTGATACTGGTGCACAAACTCCTCTATATATATATATATATGATTTAAGAGAAAGAGAAATGATTTATTTGAATCTGCCACTGGAATGCGAATGGTGCATAATTAATTTCGAATTGGAGGAGTTGCCGTACAACCAGTTGTGTAAGTAGGAAGTCTGCGCTGTGCCAGATTACATGCATGCAATGCAGTCTTTCTGTCATTGTTGTCAAAGACAGCGTTGGAAAGATCGACCCCTGCAGATAATCGTGAAGCGACAGCGAGCAGAGCAGGGCAGAGGGCTAGTGGACTTGCACTAAAGTTCGTGTTTCGGATCACTCCCGCATCGAGAGCTCTGTCGCAGACGGTATTTAGAGGACATTCAGAAATAATTCTGACCATTGGGTCAGCTAGCTCGACGATGGTCACTGTAAGCGGAACGACTGAAGCAGAGTTTGGATTCGTAATGTGCTTATCGATGTGATTTGGGATCTAAGACCGCTGACCATTGAGAAGTGTGGAGAGAAGCTACCACAACATGGAGATTCGATGCGGAGTAGCTCGCAAGCAGGAGAGAGATGGTGTACACGAAGGTTCTTCGGTGGAGCGGAGAGTTTCTTGCATGACTTCTGGAAAGATAAAATCCGTTGCTCTTCACTTCTCCGAACTTCTTTCCCGTAGTTGTGCAAGAAACTTTGAGGCTCCACCCGACTGCACAAAGTATGCCTCTAATCAACTCATGCTTTCAGATGCAGGCAGTGGCAACTTGTAGTGAATGGTTCGATGTGGGTGAGGCTATAGGTCGTCTCGGGCTCAGAGGTATGCGTTTCTTCTGCAGTACTCATGCACAATCCTGGCGTGGCACGCACTGGGTGCTTCAAACTCAGGTGAGTTTTTATTATACGTCTTCTTGATCAGATTTCTCAGATGTAATGATATGAAGACAATGGAAGGAAGACGACAGACTCAATGTCAGATTTGAATCTGATGTGATGTGATAGGGTGTCTCCCACATTCATTGGGGACAGCAACATTGCAGATATGAAAGGATTCGTTTCGATACAGGACCTTGAACACAAATGTAGGCAGGTAAAAATTACACTGAGTGAGAGAGACGACCATATTTCTTGTGGAATGCTATCCTAGTACTAAATATGCGGTAGCATCAGCAGGCTGTGATGTTACTCGTTATCTCTCACATTCAGTGGGGTACGCAACTTTGCCATTTTGAAAGGATTCGTTTCAAAAGAGCCGTACAGGACCTTATTAAAAAACGTAGACAAAATCTGCTGATATGAAATTTTCGGTAGCATGAGCAGGCTTTGCATTCATCGCCCAAATGAAGTACTGTACGAGATCGATGACAGGAGGTCAACGGAAAAATTGAGATCAAGAGTGGAAGTAAGCTCATTGTTGTTCAATATTTAAGTCCACATCAAATTCAAGTGACGGAGTACACATGAATGCCAATTTCAACATGACTGGATGGATATATGGAAGCAATAGAGAGCACATTCCTCATCAGTAGCAATGTAAAAGTTTGGAAACCAGAACTTCCGGGGTGAACGATTGAAAGCGGAAGAAAACATGAGCTTTTTGTTGAGAATGTGAACTGTTGCCGCAATCCAAGTGTACACACCAGATCAGTATATCGATTATTTTAAGAGTTTATGCTGTTCTATCAGACAGCCTAGCATACAATTTCAAGCTGAAACAGCAATCAGATGTACATTCTAGAATGCTACACCAAGGACATGATGGAACACCTTCAAGTTTGAGCAGATTTCTAATTATACTGAAGGTTTACGAGAATATAAAACATCAGAAAGCAAAACATCGCACCAGCCATGTTCGTGCTTTTCGAGCTTTCATCCCCTTCAACGCACATTTCTGGACAACGTAAAAGTTGGTATCTTTTAAGGGATCAATAACGTAAACTGCAGGCTCGTTGCATGATGAGAAGCCATGCCAGTACGACACTTTGGTCACGGAATAAAGTTTAGCTCGATGATTCTCATGCCTACAGAACAACGTACATCTTTCTTCGCTTCGTAAATTCTGGAAAGTCAAAGAGGTTTAGGATTCGGAACTTCCTCTGGAATCCACAGACGGTGACCAACTGTAGTACAAGGTTTCAAGAGTGAGCCTATCGTACAGTGGAACACCTCGCTCCCCTTGACGTAAATCGTGCAGAAGTGGTGACACAACAAGTGACCTTCCTAACAAGGAGGAGCACCATAAACAAACATACGTTTGTTAAGGGGTGTATATGTACATGTGTAAATCCCGTTTTGCCTACTTTAGAACATTTGATCATGGCAGCATCCTGTATACATACCCTCTAAAAGCCTATAACAGTTTTTCCGTAGGTGTATGTGAGGCGTCATAATCGAGCTGTTCTCCTCAGAAACTGGCTTAATTTTTTTGGCAGCTGAAATCGAGGAATCCGGATTCCTTGAATCTTTCTGTAAAGATACAGGCATACGTATCGGAGACAGCTGCTATTGATGGGCTCCTATGACGATTCGGTCCTGAAACTGAACTAAACAACACCTCACGAGGTCTCACAGTTTATCGTAGTATATCAGACTAAGATTCTTAGTCACTATATCTTATAAGTCCTAGAGGGCAGTGAACATGAGTTCGACGCCTTTTCTTCTGATTGCTGAATTTGATGCATGTGCGCTCTTCTGTCAATTCCATAGAGAATCTCCAGCAGGCACGATCAGGACAAACGTACAGATCCTACGTCACTCGTTCAGAGAGATTCACTCTTATTCAGATTCTTCTCGTTGTAATGCAACGAGGGTTGGATGTGTAAGACCTGCTCTCGATCTTGCCGTGCCTCGATCCTGGAATGCCGCTTGAAACAGTTGCACCATGGCCGAGGTAAGTCCTCCCGGCTCCAGTGGCGCAGGACCAAGTTCGGTGTACAGGGCTGGCAAGGATCTTGCAAGATCTGTTGTTTGTGCAGTCTACCGCCCTTGATCTCAGCAGCTCGGCACTCCCGTCTTCCTGAGACTCACGTCGTGGTTTCATGTGATCCGGCGCTGCAGGTTGCAACGATCGATTTTGCGGTATGATCATAAAATCTACGAGATTTGTACTACGAGACCGCGCATCACAGCGACACCAAGCAACCCAGCTGCAGCTCGACAGCACGCATGATCGATGGATGCTTTGGGCGTCCATCGAGTCCGTGAAGCTGATCGAATAAGTCGATGAGCGAGCATCCATCTGGAGTACCTCACGCCTGATCTCTGGGTGCTGTACAGCTTGTAGACAGTCGATCTGGGATCCAAGTGAGGGAACATGCTCGTGCTCGTGGTGGACCGGAACTCACCGATCAGGCTTATGGTTGAAAACAGCATCGATCCTGCACCGTCTTCATTATGGTGTCACGCTAGCGAGGCTGCGAGGGCGAGCATAGGAACTTCCGAGTAGGGGATTCCGGATCTCATAGATGAACCTTGATATGGCCAAAGGAAAGTGGAGTGGAGTGCAGTGGAGGCGAGTTGAGTTGAGATAGAGCTTCCGAAGCGGTGCAAATCTTTATACATCTCACCTCTATATACAAATCCAACCAAGTTAAAGAGTGTTAATTAGGTTTGCCGCCACTGAAACGTAGCCGTCACAAGCGACTATGGGACTCACGATCAGGATGCAGAGCAGTATTCATCAGCCGCTCGTGATCAGGTTCACTTGCAGCTGCTGCGTGCTTTCTTCCAACTAAGCTAGAGCTAAGGCCTAATGCTAATAAAGTGAACCAACAAGCAGCAGCTCGTGCATCGCGATCTCACATCACGGTGCACTTGCAATGAGTGGACGCAAACGCGCGTGCGTTTCTCAAGTCTTATCAATCCAATGGCACCTTCGAGCTTCGAGACGTGGAACTAACTGACAAAATCACTACATGCACTAAAAGAAATCACGTTTTTCGGTTTCGTGTTCTCGAGCTCAGAGACGCAATGCGGAAGAGAATTTTGGACCTTTTTCTACCCAAACATTTTTTGATCGACGATAGCATCTGCGATATCTTCCACCGCGAGACTCTAAATTTTTTGATCAGGAACAGCACAGAGGACGACGGTCGAGACCGATGCTCGTCGAACTCGACCAGACTCGTGTCCACGCTGCGATCGCGGTCCCGGGCACGGTGGAGGTCTTTGCCGCAGGCGATGGTGTGCTGCTGCTCGAGCAAAGCCTCGTTCCGCACCATAAGGTCGTGAGCGTCGTTGTGGAAGGTCCAGCTCGGCCAATCCACGGTCATGTCGACCACCAGCGATGTGTTCTCGCAGTAAGCCTCGATCAGTGCCCTCGCGCTCGTTTCCGTGTTGTCGCAATCGGTGGCGTACAGGTATTGCAGGCCCGGCAGATGTCCTGCTTTCAGCAATGAAGCGATCTCGAGGAATCCTCTCTCGCCCATCGTCAAGTTGGCCAAGCCCAGGCACCACAGATGGACCATGTTTCTGGACCTCAAGGCTTGCGAGAGCGCGATCACCTCGTCGTCCCCCATGGTCCTACATCCTGATAGATCGAGCTTGATCAGACCGCAGAAATGAGGCGAGAACTGCAGAGCTCGAGCCAGAACGCTCACCGCCCCTAACCTGATCGCGCATCCCTGGAAGTCCAAGCTTTTCAGACCTGCGACTTTGCGAGCTTCCAAGGCTCGGAAGATGGCGAGCATGCCATCCTCCTCCTCGACTCCGCGAACACTCAAATCCTCCAAAAGCGGCAGATGGCCCGACTCCAGCACCTCTGCCATTGACTGGGCTCCTTCGGTCTGAAAGATGTCCCGGTCGCTTCCTAAATACAGGCGCTTCAGAGTAAAACACTTGCCGGATCCCAGAGCACCGGCGATGGCGATCAGCTCCATATCCCCCATGCGGTTGTCCTGCACGCTCAGGGCCTCCAAGCCCGACAGGTTGCCCACGGCCAGGGCTCGGCAGAACTCCACTATCCCCATTTTCTCCAGCCTACATTCTATGATGACCACGGATTTCAAATTCGGACACGCATGTTGTTGGAGAACCCTTCCCAGGATGGCAAGCCCATCGTCTGCGATGTGCGAGATCCTGATACATGTTTGACGTTCTAGCTCCTGAATTATGGGCGCCTGGAATCCGAGCTTGGCGTTCTTGCTGTAATTATCCGCAGTCCATTGCAGCAGCTGGCACAATTCATTCTTCCCGTCGGTATTCGAAGGCGACTTCGAGCTAGATGCCATTCTACGACCCCGTCTCCCCCACCGTGCTCGATCTCAGGCTCGACCTCAATCAATCTCAGCTCAATTTCCAAAGCCCTCCCCGTGGGCAACGCGCAGCCACGGTCGCTAGGTCCGCGCAGAAAGAGCACTAACTCTCTGGGCCTGGTCTGATCGACGAGTTTCACGATCAGTTCGACGGCCGACTCGACCCAGCCCAGGCAGGATGAATTCAGCGATGGACGCACTAGAGGCCGATGGAGACAGGCAGAGTTGAAAATGGAGAGGGTCTACATGGTTGCTCAGAGCTCCTGCACATAATCGAGACGATCGAGTGACTTTTGCATCGGCCTAGCTGGAACTAGAGCGATGAGCTAAATCGGCAACGATATCGATCTGAGAGTTCGTTCCTGCCTGCGCCGAAAGGTCAAGCCTTTCAGTCGATGATCGAAAGGCTCGAGGGGCAGCAGGATTAAGGAACTCTCTCTCTTTCTTTGCTGGGCTCCTTAGCCAAGCTCTCTGTCTTTCAGGTGCTTCTGCGCTGTGACAGTTCTAGTGACAGGAGCGAGGCGAGAAGGGAGGGAGGAGGGGAGACGAGGGATGGAGGAATGGAGGGAGGGAGGGAGGGAGCAGTTCACAGGACGATCGTTGACTCAGACCTGGCTTCACTGGAACAAGCCAGCAGAGGCAGACAGAGAACTAGAGTATGGGGGCGTCAAACTCGACGGTTTAAGCTCAATAGAGAAGAGCCTGTCCTCTTCCGTGCACCTGAGAGAAGGCGAGGGGCCCGAAACAGTGGATCACAGTATTTTGTATTGACTGCTGCCGAGCACAAGTTGAGAAAAGGTTGAGAAACTTATTTAGGAAGACTGGAAACAGGAACATACTATCGGCCTGGACGCTCACCCTTTGGGACTATATATAGACTCAAAATTGCTCTTCTCAGGGCTCGACCTCTAACTGGGTGCTTCTTTTAAGCAGGAAAGTCGAATATCTTTGAGGTAAGCTCGGCTGACTGCCAGCCCTCATTGCGTCCACACGTGCTTCAAATATTTCGTATGGAAACATTTTCGCTCCGTGCCTGCCAAGGGTACCTCGTACAGCTGTTATTGACAAGGTTGACCTGACCAGCTGAGGGGATCCATGCGGGGCAGAAGGTACGTACGGGTTGAGATACATATCTCTGTATAATATTTGAGGTCCCAAGGTGAAGCTCAAACCCACTGCTAGAAGTATCCACACTTGTTATCAGAGCAAGATCGACAGTCCCGGGCAGTTCGCAGTGGTACTGCGAACAATGATCCTTTCCCTTATGCTAGGCTCTGCCATGGATGGGTCTTCTTGCCTGGAGCTAGACGCATATGCGCATGCCGTGCTTCATTATTTCAAGGTACCATTCACAAGGTACCATCCGGTACTTGCAGGATCTGGGACAGATCTAGACAGCGAGCATCTCAATCGCTGGAAGATCCTCCACCGAGGCATGCATCACCACCCGAACTTTTCGGTCCTTCTTCTCCTATTCGATTTTTGATCGGACAATGTATTCAGATCAGCTTAACAGTTGTCCACTACGAGCACATTATTGTTTTCCTCCGCTTGATTCTTGACTGACTGATTGGTATAGCACGCTGTGCAGCCACCATACGTGGGATCCAGAACGACCGATTTTCTCCCGCTATATATACTCTTCTACCTTGTCGATTCCCTCAAGGGCCTCAGGGCTGCATGTGCACGAGCATGACTGGGTCCCTGCAATATTTGCTTCCTTGCCATGACATAGCACAGCGTGTTCGCAGGTTATGTAGATCATCAACTGTCGGTCCAAAGTCATCCGAGGTTTGAGGAAAGTATGCACTTTTGTGTCATGCGAGGAGCAGCCCCGGAACGCAAGACTACGATTGTAATCGGCGGGCTGCTGAGAGAGATTCATCGGTGACTGTCGTGGTCCTCTGTGGTCCTCTGTGTCGGCCTACTTACAAGTCGTGAAAGAAGAGTCGGCCCGTTCACTTGCCATACGCTCAGCATGTGATATGAGATCGCAGGGATCCACATATCATTTGACCTGGAAGTGGGGAATTCGACATCTACTACAATCAGGTGGAATGAGACCACAGCAGCTCATCGGATATCCGGCCAAATGTCTCGGGTCCATGCTTTTCTCAGGTAGCATGCTGCCTGGACGAGTTCTTAGGGAGTTGCCTGATGTTGAGATCAGCTTTGGTCCCGTCAGTCTCAATCAGTAGTTTGATCGATAATTGTGATTGCAAGCGACTGAACTTTCGTTTCCCATCTCTCTGCCGCTAACAACTACCACAGTTCTGAGTTTCAGGTATGATAAATTCGAATGATAATTCCTATCGAAGTCGGGATTTCATGCACCTCATCAGTTCGTTCAATTAGACGATGCATATGATCGCCACAATATCTCACCTGCATTGTGACACCTTCGGCTTTGAGTTCAGTCAGTGATGAGAGACTTGGGCATCGACGGCATCAACATCGAGACAGAATGGTTCGAATATTAAAATGATGCGATGGAATCGAGTAGCAAGGACGGAGCTGGAGACTAGTTATGTATCAAGAGTCGGAACCTAGCCCTGGCTACCTCCAATACGTCTGAAGTGCAGCAATCTGTGAAAAGAACGTAAAGTTAACTCGGTGTTGCTGCATTTTTGCACGTTCCTTTCATTGCCATCGATGGCGATGGTGAACAAAGTAAGTGAAACGCACCTATCCCATGCAGTTCATAATGAATGGGTGTTATTGATCAGCTTCGTCATTTAAAGATACCACTCTCTTTTTCACATATTTTGAGTCAGTAAACACTTATCTGGAAATTTTAGATATCTCTTAATTTAATCATGACTATTTTCTGATTTATGAATGTTACATGCAAGCAAAATAATGTAATTCTGGAGATTTTGTGTGAAATTGTTTTGAATTCTGTTAGCATTGCTTTTCTTTGATTCCTTATTTCTTCTTATTCTTCAACCCTGGAATTTCACCCGACATTGACGTTCTTCAAATTTCGATTTTGAATTTCCTCATGGAACTATACATTAATCAGCTAAAATTTGGTCTCTTTTACAGGTTTTCCATTAACCGAACACCCATAGCTACACTCATAAGACACAGTATACAACGGTGGCTTTTTTTCCCGTCTACAGGATGACCTTCATGCCAAGATTTGATCCCACATTGCAGAGCAACAGTTCTTGAGGCGATTGGTAAGTTTATCTGATCCCGTTGCACCAACTACATACAGAACTGAAATGTAACCAGGTCGATGCAAATCTCCAAGACGTTCGTTTTTACAGGTTTTCTCCATTTGTAATACTCAGCACTCTATTTACTGGGTTCATGCCAAAAAATCGAGAAACTTTGCGTTTTTCCAGAGATGCAAGATGCACTTACCCAAACTAATCAAACATAACATTAAGATAGGTGCAAGACAAACCACTCCGTCAAGTAATTCCCACTTGAACCTCACTGTAAATAATCAATCATGTCTTGAAGCTTGAGCACGAGGAAGTAACGGCGGCATTCGCTTGTGTTACTACAGTGAGATAGCAGTGTTTGTCCAAACGAATAATGATCGCAAGTATCAACATTTTCTCAGCTGATCTTTAGTTGGAGTTGTGATACCAGGTTTTAGATAATGTGGCACCTGCGGGCTTTGGTTCGTATCACTCATATTATCATAATTGCAACTAAATTCGAAAATACTAAAAATTTAGTAGTCTATAGGTCTTAATGACAAACGTAGTTGAATTTATCTTACATTTCATCGGATTCTTGACATCTCTTTATAAGTATAAGAGACGTCCATCTTATTTATGAGGACGCAACCATGACACATAGTATCTCCAATTATGCAAAGTTGGTTGTAATTGGTTTGACAATGAAGCTAGGTCTTCTTGACGGTATAACTCAAATCCGATAATCCTGTAAGATCAATTCTAACTTATTATGAATAAAACATGCAAAACCTTCTTCGGATAACTTTCAGTTTGAATGAAGGATTAATGATATTGATATTATATTCTGTTGTAACAAGTGAAACAAGTTTGAGATACTTTAAATCGATCAAAGTAAGATTTCAAAGCTTTATGAACATTCTAATCCAAAATGTTAATTTAAGTAGAAGTAATATTTTACTCAGTCAATAAAATTTTGAAATTTTGAAAACAAACCAAAAAATATCTTAATTTCACCAATTTCTAAAAACGAAAATTAAGTATGGAGTTGTGATACCAATATTGGATAAACTGAAGACATTGAATCCTAAGAATTTTATCTATTATAAAACTTGTCCAAGCACTTTCATTCTAAAAGTTCAAGTCTTAAAAGAGAGTCAATGAAATCGGTTTAACGGGTGGATTTCTTCTACACGAGATTGTCATAAAGAGATAATATCCCTCAGTGCTACTTTAGTTACGATGGAGTACTTGTATAACAGAGCAAAATATATTTACGGTTTCTCACTCCTTCACCAGGCTATGAAATGAATAGATAAATTCAGGTATGTTTTGACTAGCTTAACAATGTCAGTTGGTCAAGTTAGACTTTCACTAAATAATATAGCTAATATTATCTCATGATACTTTAGAGTTTTCAGTAAAACTCTGGCGTTTTAGCGTGGACGAGGCGTAACTGAGACAAAACAAATAAATCATTTTTTAGGCTTTGCGTTTACTGTTTGCGTTGTATCGTCGAGCACCTGCAACCTTGTGAAATTCATACAGATATGAGCTTGGTTTCATAAATAAAATTTCATTATTAATCAATATCGATAAAAATAAATTTTAGACTCTATTTTTTATAATTAAAAAAAACGATCTGACTAAAGACGAGAGTTACTTCATGAAAATAGTTTTTGACATGTACTCTATTTCAAATGCATATGACTATAATACAATTTATTTAGATGTCAAATTTCAAATGATTTTTTAAAAAAAATAAAATTGCAAGTTATGAATGTATGTTAATTTGTAATCCATATTAAATTTCAATTATTAATTTTTTATCATAATAAAATGATATTTTGATCAGTTTATGTTAAGAAAAGACACATAAAGCATCACACAAACATGAAAACGAATATTTGTAAGGTTCACGTTGGAACAATCTTGCCAACTTTGTTGTAACCTGCGCATCTTAGTCTGTCTGCTTCATAAATGATATCAATATTTTATTCACGAAAAAGACAAACCTATTTTGCAAAACCACTTTTACCATGATCAGAATAGTTCTTTTTCAAGACCAGAGTCTTCTACATCAGCACATTTGTTGATGTTGGGACTCTGGTGCAGTTTGATGTGAGTGAAATATACCATTTATGTATCTGTGTACTCTCTTCATCATGTCTCGAGGACCAGACTTGCTTGTGAACAGGCTAAGATTCAATCAACACCTCTTCTAATATACTAGCAAGTCTAGATCTTAAAAATCGATCCGTCTAGAACCAAATTCACAAGTTGCTTGACGTTTATGAGGGCCAATGAACAAAGTACAGCGCCAGATGAAATCAACACCTGAGCTTATTGGTGGGATCGAACGATGAGTTAATACCCAGTGCAGTTTAAGAAGAGGTAGTTCATACGACTTCGGTCCGTTCTCTCTCGTCTTCCATCTCTACATTCCTCCTACTTGTTCACTGCCCATCTCATGTCATCCAATTGTCAGAAGGAACAGCGTCAAGGCTATTGTGGTTAGTACCGACGACAAATCAAGTGGAACTTTCGGAAATTTATCAAAAGGGCCTCTAGAGGAGACATAGTTGTGCCGTGCCCAATAAAGTGGCATCTTGGATGCTACTTTGAGGATACAGAGAAAAAGGATTGTTCCAGAGGAAGAGATACATGTTAGTCTCAGTATGAAATCATATATCGAGAGTTGATTCTAACTCTGGATAGGTAAGCATTGTTTCTAACTGTTGCAATATTGGCAGCGTTAGAGGAGAAGCAAAAAACTGTCGTTGAGGAAGTTTGCAAGGTGCTTTGGTTCCACTTACTGTCGTCGATGAAGGAGAAGCGGTACGCTTTCAACTGCTCGAAACTAACTTTCTTTTCAACATCCCTTTATGGAGTGATCAACACACTTTGTAAATTTTATTAGGGTTACAGTATGGCAGTATGGCAGTCGTCCGGATTACCTTCTCTTTCGTTTTAAAGCTGAGACACGAGGAAGATTAGCTAAACCAGCCAAAGTATTCGTGAAGTATTCATTGGCCTATCTGGAAAACATTGAAGTGATTTTAAATCGTGATTCCTGCATACCTGCATCTCGTCTGTTCGTAAGGAAATAACCAAAATGGTTGCCACCAGGAAACAATTTGAAAGTTCGATCCAGACGAAGCTACGATCAGTTTGTAACACCCACAAGTACGAGCGACAGCTTGTTCTGAGTTCTGATTCTTGTTTATCAGATTTGACTGCGAAGTATCGAAGATAAGGAGCTGCTCGCTACACGCCTAGAGTTGAAAACATTATTTCAACTATTGAAAAGGAAAGAGATTCAAACCACAGGTCGCAGAATCAGGTAAGTCGTTGTGTGGCCCCCACATTCTTCATTTACAAACGAATATCTCTTCGACCTTGATAACGAGAATGTCCGGAGGAAATGCGTAGAGACTTGCTTCATGCTAACATACAGGTCTTAAATACGTCTCGCACATTCTCTTATCAGAACGTGCGAGACGACACTTTTCTGTCTCCCATACCGACCAGAAATGACTCAGAGAATAACAGGAAATGTTTCGGTGGCATCCAATTAAAATGTTCTCCTGTAGTGATAGTTTCGGAGCACCCCACGAAATGCCAACTCAGCTCCTCCTGCTGCCTTGAATAGAAAAGCAGGAACTTGAGACTTTATATACTCATCACAAACTGCGACTCGGTGTCGCCTCTGCTTTTTGAATTCTGATAATGAATCTAGAAGGGCCCTATTGCACTCGCATTCTCATTTAAAGTCTAGCGACTGCAATGGAGTTAGAAGGAAAAAGATGTCATAACAAGTAAACCAGCTACCTAACCTGAAGAAGATCTAAATCATACAAACAATCCATGTGAATGCCCACATTGTATCATGTAGAATTAAGTGCCCAAGTGGTGCTATTGATGCTGACAGAAAGTTTGGACGATTTCAGCAGTCATTTGCCGAAAAGGTGCAGTATCCTTCTCGGTGGGTCGTTAAGCAGTACTCCCCTGATCAAGTGCTGTGATGTAGTACTAAATTATCTCGCCAAGAGAGATGCGCCACTGCGGCATCAATGGTCTTCACTGTACGAATCTTCTTTAGAGGACTGCCATTATAGAGAGAGAGTTGATTTTGAGATTGAAATTTATGAGATCTAGACTCGTACTCGAATGTAGCCTGCCATTCAAGTGCAAGTCCAGAATTTTTTTATATATAGATATATTTGCTTTTTTTCCTCTTTTGCTCTAGTTGTCCTTCACTTGGTCGTAGAAACGCTGGTCGGTGGAATCCATGTACAGAAGTTCTGTTAAATAGTTCCAACATTCAGTTACAATCTGCTCTTTAGTTGAGTGCTAATGGTTCAGAAGAAAGCATGCATCCAGTAACTCAGAAGTAAAATCTATGGACGATGAATCTTGGGGCAATTGAGCGATGGATTAGATGATGACGACCGGATCCGGAGGTGGGGGTTGACTAGCTAATATTTTGCAAAATTTTCATGAGGTTCATTCGGCAAATTGTACATGTTTGACCTTCTTTGACTCAGAAGGCCGCATCATGATCGAAGCTTTTCCGTGGGTCAACGGCGGTCCTAGGCTCCTGCTAGCGGAGCCCATCATAGCAAGGGCTGAAGCACTCGGGGCAGACAATGGTGACAGTTTAAACAGCCCACCTCTGGACGAGAAATCCATGAACCGGTTTTGAATTCTCGTCCATTCCCGACCATTTTCCTCGCACATGCTCGCATCAGCAGCTGATTTGCAGCTGGACTTGATATCGGCTGGCGTGGAGCCCATGCCACTCCCATTGCCATTGCCTCTGCCATGGGCGTCAGGACCATCCCACTGCCTGGCTCTAGATCTGGCAGCAGCTGCAGCTGCTGCTGCTGCGGGGCTCTCTGCACTTGCACCAAGAATGATGGATTTCGGTGGGAGCCAGCGTTGCAACCAGTTACAGCTTTGAGTCGATTCCGTTCTCACACCGGTGCCGGTCGATTGCTCTCTCGGCTGATCAGGACGTAATCGGTCCGATTTCTCGGCCTGGAATGTCCAGGAACTGTAATGCGGATGTTGACGGCTGCGCTTGATGAATCCTGATGTGCCGGGCTCATCCGCCACATCGCTCAAATTCCGAAGTCTACTTTGCTTCTGCCCAGCCCTCTCGGCTGCTGCTGCGCAAGCTTCAGCTGTCGTAGTTTGGCGCCCTGCCTTAAAACTATCCCGCTGAGTCGCCAAATCGCAAAGGGGCTGATCATAGTCACCCACCATAGCCTGAGGACGATCCTGATCCTGATCCTGAACCTGAATTGAGTGGGCCACCTCTTTCACGACGCAGCGCTTGCCTCCGGTGCCCATTTCGTTCATTCCTGCTGCTGCTGCTGCTGCTGGCATACGCATCGCACCCATGCCCATGTTGCTCACGGCTTCGTGCAATTGTGAACCCAGCCCCGGGCTGGGGTGCGGCAACAAGAGCTCTCTCCTCGAGCTGGAGCCTGTTGCGATGGGAAGCCCGGCCATGGTAGGTGCGATTCGGAACATCGGCATTCGATCGAGTTCGTGCTCGACAGGCATGGCGCTCAAATCCGCCATCTTGTTCTTGCCCCGATCAGCCCCGGCAGACGCCCTGGCATTGGCGTACGAAGGCTGCGGTGCGTAAATGGGGGAATTGCTGTCACGATCAATGGTCTGGCCTGAAGTCGTCGCCCGCCGGCCCATGGCTCGCTCGCCGAAAGCTGTACCGGATCCTCGATCAGATCCCACGAGACCACCACCGCCGCCACCTCGAGCCTGGCGGTGGCTGTCGCCCACCTGCCACGAATTCGAGAACTGCGAAGACTGAGCTGGAAACGAGTGACGAGCCTTGGGCGGAGATGGAGATGCGCCAGCACCGGATCCAGCGACGCTATTCTGCACGGGGACCCTCTGGTTGCCTTCGCCATCGCTCGTCGCAGGCCTCGGGGGGCCGGCCATCCCATCGGCCCGTCGGTGGTCGACGACATCGTGCATTCTCGCATCGAGAGGCACGGTTCGAGCAGTCGAGTGCGATTTCACGTCTTCTTCCTCGAAGCTGCTCAGACTCGGCACCTTGAAGGCAGAATACAGCGACGCCCAGCTGCACGGAGTGATCCCCGACGTGCTCTCGCTGCACTCGAGCAGGCTGGTGCCAGTCCTCGAATTCGGAGGCCGGTGGAGGTCGAGCGGCGTGAGCGACGAATTCGTCTCCACGAGCCTGTCCTGCGAGCTCTGGTTCTCGTTCTCGTTCTCGTTCTGATTCGCTCCATGAGCATCATTGGGCCTGCTCGCCTGCTGCTGCTGCTGGAAAGCACCCACGGGCGACGAGAATGGCAGTCCCAGCGGCGGCCGTCCGAGCTCCGCCAGCACGAGAGCTCGAGGGCCCTGGAAGCTTGGAGCCTGGAACGGGGCAAACGGAGCACGCAGTCGCTGCTGCTGGGGCAGGGCTGCTGCGCGACCAGCATCGTCGTCATGCCGCTTATCCATAGGCCGACCGACCGATCGAACTCGCTCTCAGCCTGAGATTCCCGAGCTCGTCCCCGCTCGCAACATTGAATCACTCCTCTCGGTCTCGCAGGATTCCTGTCTCCCTTCGGCTCTACGTACGCGCCTCGGGTTGATCTGGTGTCTGGCTGGAAGAATAACTTGCAGTGTCCAGGAAGCAGCCGCAGCAGCTACTGCAACCAACAACAGGTGCTCCCCAACATAGACATGTCTCCCGCCATTCCGATTTGACTTTGTGCGATTGTGATGGCCAGCTCGCCGGCACGGCCACCTAATAAACAAAACATCGAACACGTTCCGAAACTCCCACAGCTCTTGGACTCTGCGTTGTAGTGTTCACCTGGATTACAAGGGACCTGGCATCAGATCAAGCCAAGAGCCTCAATTGTCAACTGGATCTGACCACGGGTCATTCATTCATCCGCACTGTGTTGACTATTTCGCTGATTTTGTCGCCATCAATCCTGTACGTCATACTTGCGAGTCAAATCCTTACATTCTCATCAATCCCGACCCCGCTTCCCGTGGCCCTGAACGTGCCTGCGAATCGGACCCTCGAGAGGGCCGGCACTCGCCGCCCCCTCCGGCCGACGAAGCCGCTCGTCGCCATCTTTGTTAACGGTAAAGTAAGACGTCAGTCCGAGTTCTGAGTGTTCACGACCACCACCTCGGGGCCGTCTATTTGATTGATTCCGAAGCTCATACTGCAGCAGGTCGACGGGATGCTCATGGGACTGTGATTCTCTCCGTCCTCCAGATGCTCTGCGCTCGAGGTCACTAAGCGCAAGGCGTGGACTTTTGGATGTCCGTGGTCTGCGAGGTTTTAATATAAGGTACTTGCTTCATGTCCGGATCATCTAGAAGCATCTTGCTTCTCATCGTCGGTATGAAGGCGAGCTCGGGCCGCTGAAATTAAGTGCCATCATTCTGTGTCATGCGAGCGAGGGAGAGTTTTTTTAACTCGGTCGGTACATGTGCATATCTTGGGAAGCCGGATGGACATAAACAACGGTGCGGCACATGGATGCCACTCTGTCAGAATGTAAATATTCTCCAATTTGTTGTACAGAAATTTTCATCATTCGAACGTGAGCGATTTCGTGGCTCTGAGAATTTGGGAAACACAGTATGGTGCGGACCACGTGGTTCTGATGTCACTTGCTGCGGAAGTTAATCTGCATCCATCCACCATCAATATTCTCGACACTGTTGGAGTCAAATTTCTTGCAGATGCTTGCAGTTGTTCCTCTTCTCCACCTCCAAAGTACCCTCAGACTGAAACATATGGAGCGTCACAAAATTGGACCAAACAGGTCATCATTCGTAACATCCGAATCGCTGTCCAGAATCCAGATGACCTCTTCTACAGGATTCGATTTGTGCATCTTGAGAACGCAGGGCTATCTATGTACTGCTGCGGTACGTCATCCCCCACGCATATTCAGTGCTACCAACTGCAGCTATCAGAAATCTTCTTGTCCTGAAGCCTGATTGTTGCCTCGAGATAAGTACAGTGCTTGCCAGGCTTCACCAAACGTACACGTCTCTCGCTTACAAATCGAGTTGAGGACAACCATGCCCTGCGTCCCAAAATTAGTCGGGGGCCTGTCACGGATCCATATTCCTATCTCGCTCCTTGCTCCTGGGCCGAGGATTAAGTTTGAGCTCGGTTTACATGAGGATCAGTTATTAGTTCTGACCTTCTACTGACTGATCTCATTCTACGAATGAAACGCAATATAGTTTCCCGTCGTCCTGACTCATGACCACCAGCGACTGCGAGTAAATCGATGCAGAGCGTACTCGATTTATCCCAACCGTGATGGGGCATTTGTGAAAAGCATTCCATGAGTGACGAACCGTACGAGTAATAGGCAGAACCCCATGCTTCAACAAGGGACATATTACAACACGGACACTGTTCTCGATGTGGATTCCTGGACTCCATGCAACTGACTCTCATAATGTCTGAACTCGAGCACATTGTGTTGCAAACTGAGGTCCTAGAGCTTCCAGAGTAGGAATGCATGATCATCCCCGACAGGTCTTGTCTCCTGTGAAGTCACTGTCCTGGCCATCGTTGTCCTGGCCACCCTCAGAAACGTATAGCATATTTACTTAGTTTTAACTTTATTATTTCTTCACATACACAGAAAAAAATGGGAGAAAAGTCAAAATTAGAAACCGGAATGAAATCCAATGGACTGAAAGTAGAAAGCTTCATCAAAGCACACTAGAAAATATCCTTCCTTAGGACCAGTAAGAAAAGATGAGAAGAACTAATATTTCTTTGTGATCAATATCTCCCTAACTTCAGTCCCATGTGTCCTTCATCCAGTCTTAATTAATATTTACATTTCTAACGTTTATCACAAACCTTTGGTCCAACTTGACTTGCTACATCTTCTACAATCTGGGGCTATTATTTAGATCCGTCTTTTCATGCGTCTTCCTGACTTTTACCTTCCATCTTCCTGCCTATGCTTATGGGAATCACCTTCATGACATCCAAAGTTCTTTAGTTTGTCGATTAATGTTCGAGCCTTTGTCTTATATTAGATTAAGCTACCCCTGATAATAGCTGCAACCATCTTCAAGGTTGGCACAAACCTCCGGTATTTACACCGGAGGCTTATCAACTAGAGATCAGCTAAAATTTTCTACTATGATATCATCAAATCCTGTTAGTGGAGCTCTTGTGAGGTATTGTTTATGGGTTGAACATCGTGACATTGTTAAAAAGTATGATGATGACACTGCATGCCATTTGACATGATGATACAAAACGGCCATCAACTCTTATGGCAGTGGGAAAAAGTGTAGTATTTTGATGAATTCTATTTTGATTATATGAATTAAAGTACAACTACAATCAGAAACACCATGCAAACTTTTATCATTTTAGAAATCATCTTTGTAATGTTCAAGAATATTGCGTAAGTTGTGACTACACTTATACAGCCAATTAGGGAATAAAGCTTCTGCCTAAACAAGGGAATCACGGGTGGAAGGTGCGTTTGCTGCGGCTCCAAATCTGGGAAAGAGAATCTAATTCCTTGGTATGACTTGTTTAGCGTTGAAAAGCACTATGAAAGTATATAGCTACCACTTTCGTAGCGCACCAACGTCATGCATCGTACAACTCGTAACATATATCAGGACTTCGTTCCAGTGGTTCCAGGACTAAACTCAATAATCACCGCAGTTCCACACTGTGAATGGTAAGACCCGAATTCGTGTACATGGGAAGTTCAAACATTCATCGAAAAGTTGATCTCCTCGTTTTCTGATTTTATACGCTGTGTAAAGTTCAGCCACCACTGATAGGCACCTAAGAGTGGAAAGTATAAGGGTGTGTTCTACAACCCGTGACATCGTTACTGGTTGTACCATGCAAGGACGCGAGTCATCAAAGATATATTTGAATATGTGACAGACAAGTACCGACAACTGAAGAACTCCATATTCCATGCTAACAACTTCAGTCTTCACGCACCAGTATTCGTAATATGCTAGCTGAGAACTCCATGATTTCATGTGAATCCATTAGCTGGCATTCTCTTCAATCGTGCAGTGACTGCATATATGATACAAAGGGTGTGATTGTCTTGTCTTCAACACATCTAACTGCTCTCCTACTACTGTAGCTGTGGAGCAAGCTCTTCAACCTCCACTAAAACCTTGTTTGTTGCCTTTCGGCTGATGTCCGTTGTCATTTGACACAAACGTAAGAATTCCAGTACGACATGGCTTCCAAGTACGTGAGCTGCCCCGAGCCGGGTTAATTAAACGTTTCGAATGTCAAAATCGACTACGTCCTCCAACAATCTATAGAACTACAGTCAAGTCTAAACTCTCAAGCTTCGGCGGCGCAGCCACTTATTGGAGACAACTCATGAACTTAAACTTCCAAATTGCAGGTCCACCCAGTTTTTGCTGGAACTTATAAGTCTCTGCCACTTGTACTTTTTCCAAGAACAAATGTCAGAGTATAGGAGGGACGAACAGAGATGCAACAATCAGCTCTAGCTATAGGGCGAACACCAATAGTCCTGCTAAACGCAGCCTCCCTAGCTGGTTCAGTTCAACCTTCAAAAACAGAGGTGCCATGACCAATATAATAGTTGCCAACATCTTGATGAGCACGTGAATTGAAGGCCCTGCAGTATCCTTGAACGGATCTCCCACACTGCACAACAAACCAAGGCCATGAGGGTTGTATCGTAATGAAGTCTCATTCCAGCTTGAAAGACATTGAGATAGGACAAAGTTGCTGCAAATTTCAAGCCAAACCCTCCCGACGCTTAGACGACGATATACAATTAACGTTTGCTGGTCTGACTTACGTGTCTCCCGTCACAGCTGCTTCATGTGTTTCACTGCCCTTGCCACCATAGGCTCCACTTTCGATGTACTTCTTCGGGTTGTCCCATGCTACACCGGCCCTGTTCAAAAAGAGCGCCATTAAGACTCCCGTCACAGTCGCAAAGATGAGCATTCCAGCAGCGGCCTTGGCTCCCAGCAAAGGCTGATCGGTGTAGTGTCCCAATATTCTAAAGGTAATGCCTAATAATACCGGAAGAAACATAAGAATCAACAGTTCCTGATAAAATGTTCGCCTAAACGAGGTTAATGCTGGAAAAAATAAGCTTCGGATACGCCTTCATTCACACCCTTTCTCTAGTAGCATCAACCAAACTCCCGAATTCAAAACTCTCTTAACTAACGGTTGTCCCAAACATGCTTTTTTATCAACTCTACACAAGCAATATGGAAAAACCCCATTAACAACTACAAAAACGTTAATCGCATTTCTTCAAATATGCGCTAATCAACTGTGTGAAAAGCCAAGTCATCATTACCGATGGCTACGGGTGAAAAAACAGCCAAAGCTCAGGGTTTGATCATTTCGCGTAGAGAAGCTGATGCAAAAATTGATTTACACCGAGCGTAGTCCGGTTTCTCTTGATAAGTCTGCAGAACAACATAAGAAAGTGGATGAATGCCTCAAGCAGCAGCACTCTTGAGTTATACCTCCTTAGGACTCTTGTAACTGTGAGGTCGATGAGTTAGTAAATTTCTTCACTGACTCGAAACTTCCATCTAATCTCATTTGTGAGAAAAAGTCTCACAAAACGAGAGGCCTTCGTCATTTAAATCAATCTAACTTCTTGTTTTGATTTGAAAAAACATATTAATTCACTCACACGTATTTTTAGATAAAATTATCATAAAAATCATATCACATACAATGAACCATCAAACAATGTTTGGAATTTCTTTGGTCCAACGTAAGTTAAGTTGAATAATCTTATGTGCAAAAATATATGTATCATCACAAGAACCGGTACAAAACCATGAAGAAAATGTTATTCTCTCGTTAATATTGAAGTTAAAAGAAAGTTAAAAAAATAACGGAATGTTTTGAAAAGAATCACAACTTAATGAAACACCCAATGTAAAAGAATAAAGAACATTATAAAATCTTTCCAACCTCAAGCAAGACAAAATGAAACAGGATAGATATGAATGTGCTTTTAATCACAGAAATAACGTGAAATACAAATAACCTAACGTTATTTTTTTGTAAATCAAATAAACCATCATCATCAGTGATTACAAAGAGTTTCTAAATTAAATTGAAATCAACTGAATAAGTTCTTGAAAAATTGCTCTCAATATTTAGAAACAAAAAATAATTGAAATTAAAAATAACAATTTCATATTCAATGTTTGTATTATTTGAAATCTAAAACATCATAATTTTATCCTTGGAAACGATTTCAATGAAATAATTAATTACCGTGTAGTTTAGATCCAGAAATATTTTTTTACAAAAATTTTGAAGTTTACATATACATAAGAATTATTTATATAATACTTTGATTAAGAATTAATTATGTGATAAGTAGAGTTGTACTCTTGAAATATAAGTTCGTTGCATCAATTTTGATGATTTATCTGTATAAAAGTTACTAAGATTCAAAGCGCCAAATGTTAAAAACAACTGAAAAAGCTGATATATTGTAGAATCAAAAGGTTTAAAGCAGTTAAAATATCGTAAGATACAGAATGTAATACTTTCACTTTTATTCAATAATTTCTTGCTTAAAACAAATTTTGAGATCTTGTTTATGAGTTAAACATTTTGAGAAGGGAAGTTTTATCAAATAAATATGCAAATTGGACTACGCATCCAATAGAAAGGTATTTAATCACTTTATTACATATTGTAGCAAAAATTATATGTAAATACGCTTTAAACAGAAGAAAGAGAGACAAAGAGATGAAATGAAATGTTTTCGTTTCAACGATTCTATCAAATGAGCAATCCGTTTCATTTCTTTCATATGACATGTTTGGATTCATGATATGAGCACACGAGTGCAAAAGTGGCGGTATGACTTGTTTCATTTCAGTAAATATATCATTTATTTGACTTTACATGTACGATTACACCAGATCTTCATCTGAAGTCACCTATCACTGTTATCTAGCATAGAGCATCAGAATTATTGTTGAAGCCATGTATACAGCACAGTTTCTCTTAATTTGCAAGCACCTTCGAAAAATGTAACCTCCTGAGAGCTTTACCGTTGAGCTCAGCAATTATCATGCTGGTCCTATCAACTTCAATACAGCGCGATAAACAAGCAGAGTGCTCGCAGCACGGACGAAATTCGATTTCAGTTTCATCTTTGAGGTGTAAAGAACACCAGACTCTGGAACTAGAACTGTCCATGAGACCACATGCTTGACAGCTCAGCTAGAAGAAAAATCATATCAGCAATCGAGAACCTCGATTGTGCTTCTACTCTGTTCAAAGTTCTTCAACTCTATGTTTAGTAAATTTCCAAATAGCTTACCAGTTTGTTTTGAACCTACAAGTTATGTAGAGTTATATAGACTACTGTACCGATATTTAAAGAAAAAAGAAAGCACAAGAGGCATTGTCAACCAGACGCACAACGCCAGAATCATCCACTTGCTTGAATAGATTAAAATAGATTTAGTGAAGATGAAATTTGAAATCTTAGTTATCAGGTGACGACATCGAGTGTATCATTCAGTGTGATGTATCCTGCTTGCACAACAAAGTCAAGATCTACTCTGACGTACTAAAACCATTGTCCAATCACAGGGAGGGGGTAGGGAGGAACACGCTTTTTGAGTTAGAATTTTGTCGCAACCTTGATCGCTAACGTAAGAAAAAGCTTAACATGGGCGTAGCAAAACTCAGGGCTCGTCACTTCTCAGATATCTGCAATATCATGCATTTCATGACATTCTGCTTCCAGATCGCACCATCTTTGCTACGAACTTGACTTCAGATCCGCCTGCAGATAGCTCTGCAGGTGGAGCTATCAGCGTGTCCACTCAGTTTGGTTACCGTGCACATCAAACGCCTCTCTCCCAGAGGCGTTCCCCGGAGATGTGAAGTCCATGTGCCAAACGGTCTACGATTTAGCTCAATTTAGAATACTAGTCTCCTGCGTTCATTTTGATTTGAGGTTGAGCAGCCTCCTACTTCCACTTTGCACAATTCGTGGTGATTGCTCATGATCATGATCATGCAACGTGAAATTCAGTATTCTTTGGGTGAATTGGGCCTTCGGATCGCGCGGGCCTTCTTTGATGCTCGGTTACAAGCACCAAACGTGATTCTTCTCTGACAAGGGACGAGAAAATGGAAGGTGTAAGTGCGCCCATCGTCAGTGACGCTGCTGAACTTGCAACACGTGAAATGGACTCCGCAGACGAAGAACCGGAGCTTCCCTCCGCCATCCAGGACCTTGTATAGCGTCTGGAAGGACAAGGCGAGCCTATAACGTCGCTCCCCAGCTTACGTGATCCAGAATTTCAGTATTTCTTTCCGGCGCGTGCATCGGTTTCGACGATCATCGTCAACGGCAATCGGCAGCTGCAACACCTTTGAGATTCTGGACGTGGACAATATTTTTGGGGCAGATATATCGAGGTTGACGGCAAGCGAGTGGCAGCTAGTTTTGAGAGTATTCAGATCTAGCACCAATCTACGAGTGATACGGAAGTTCAGATGCGTAGATATGTAGTTCAGATGCGGAAGTGGTGACCTTGTACTTACAGCTGGGGAGAATTCTGAATTCGTCTAGCGTAACAGAATTGAGAATAGGCGGCCGCTGTAGATTGAGTGCCAGAATTTTGCCCAGGATTGCGAGGACATTCCGATTCTAAACTCCAGTCTTTAGATTTACATGACGCGTGGGAGGACTCGAGTGCGGTGAAGCATGTGGCTGACATGATCAGTGCACACAGGAACTCGACAAGGAGGCGTTCAGTAACTCGACAAGGAGGCGTTCAGGGACCTGATGGGGGTACTGCAAGTGAACTTGGTTCTCCAGGAAATCGACGTCCCACTAACATTATGGGCAAGGGAGTGAAAGGCTGCGCAGATTCAAGAGGCCCTGAAGCAGAACCTGAATCGGGTCGTCTACATGTCCGTACTGCGAGAAAACAACTTAACATTTCGAGATCCAAAAGCTGGTCGACTCTTATCAGAGCAGGTAAGATGCGCGGTAAAATGTCAGTTTTCCCTTCAATGTAGGCCAACTAGCAATCTATGGTTTTACTTTTCTAAAACTAAGATTGACACAACAAATTCTCTTTTAATCTCTATATATTGATGTGTGTATACAAATAGTGACCGAAAGAAAAAACTTTCAAATAGGTAAGTCATAAATTAATCTCAATTGTTTTGGTGATTTCTGCATTTTTTAATCAAATTTATCTTCACATGTAAAATAATATCATGTCATATTCTATCTCAAGAATATCAAGTCAAAGCATCTGTGAAGATATCGTAATTAATAAGTTGTGTATTTTGTGATTTATTTTCCAACTCGCAGGAAAAACTCAATTGCGTAAACCCTGATGAGGACAAATCATAGCTGGCTACACAAAAGCATACACAGAATGCAAATCTCATTTTGCGATATTGCAGGACAATGAATTTTTCGTACACTTCAAAATGAGCTCTTCCCTCAAACCAACAATTTCTATTTCTTTTTGTGTATAGTATCTTATGTGAAAAAACATCTTCAAACAAACCAGACTCTAATTTCAACTCTGAGTTGAAAGATTGATTGAGTTTCATCACATCCAGCAATTAAGGTCACCCGACGTGATATCCCCCAAGTTTTTCTTGTCATTTCACACAAGTATAAAGCCAGATGCAGCTCTGTGAGTTGGGCTCACTCCATAGTTGAGAAACTTACCCAAAGATTCGCAAATTTTGTGGATCCCCGCCCCATTCAAGAGTGTTTTCATGTGGATGATTGGAAGCAAAAGCAAATTATCTCCATCAACAGTCACATTTTTTAGAATTTTGACAAGTTGTTGACAGAAAAATTCCCTTAGGTTCCCGAATTGTGTTTTCAACTCACCTACCTCTTAATAACAAACACCAAGAAAAACAGAACTTGCCCTGTGGTCATCTGAAAAGTTTCATGATTTCTATGCTCCTAGCTTGACACAATTCTATCCACCATCTTCTGTTCACTCTGTTGATCGTTTAAGTATAGTGGACTCTATCATTTCTTATCTGAATGATGTTGGATTAACATATACATCCCAAATCTTCATTACATCATTGTGTATCCCAACTGGCTCCTTAATACTTTCTTGGGTGAGCTGATAGCTCTGGGTCAACACTTTCAAACTCAAGAGTTTGAATCTTCTGATAGAACGAGCTCATACACAAGCAAGGACTGATTTGTGAGTGAGAGTGTCTTTGCTGGATTTATAGAAGAATTTCTAGGAAAGAAATCACACCAACAAAGAGGTGTGGACAAAGAGGTGCTTGAAAACATCCTTGTCAATTTAGATTTGTGTTTCAAGCTCAAAGATACTTCTCATT